CGCCAAATCGAAATGTCAAAAGATGGAGGAATCGAGAAGTTGAAAAGTCCAAAAATCGAAAAATTGAGAAATTGAAATACATTAAAAATTTAAATTCGGGAAATCGAAAAATAGAAAAATGTAAAACTTAAATAATCGAAAAACTAAAAAAACAAAAAGTAAAACGAGAATTCGAAAAGTCTGAAATTAAAAAAATTGAAACTTGAAAAATTGAAGAGTCGAAAAACTTAAAAATGGAGAAATTGAAAAATGCCAAAATTTACATGTCAAAAAATTGTAAAATCGAAAAGTCGTAAAACCAAGAAACCGAGACTTCGAGAAGTCGAAAAATCGATATTTGCGAAAACGGCCCAAAATCAAAGAATTCTAAATTGAAAAATTTAAACTTAAAAAAATCGATGAATCAAAAATTGAAATTTAAAAACCCGAAATATTGAAGAATCGCGAAGCTGAAAAATCGAGAAATTGGAGAATCCCAAATCTGAAATGATCAATAATAATTAAAAAATCCAGGAATCAAAATTGAAAACATCGCCAAATCGAAAAATTGAGAAATTGAAAAAAATTTTAAAAATCCAAAATCGAGAATTCGAAAAATCTAAAATTTGAAAAATCGAAAATTAAAAAATTGAAGAGTGAAAAAACTGAGAAATCGAGAAATTGGAAAATCCCAAAATTGATATGTCGAAAAATTGTAAAATTGCAAAGTCGAGAATTCGAGAGAAGTCAAAAAATCGAAAAATTGTGAAAGTGGCCCAAATTCGAAAAATTCTAAATTGAAAAATTTAAACTTAAAAAAAATCGATGAATCAAAAATTGAAAGATCAAAATCTCGAAAAATCGAAACATTGAAAATTTAAAAAATCGAAAAATTGAAAAGCCAAAAAATCTGAAAGCGTGAAGGCGAAAAATTGGAAAATGAAAAAATATGAAATTTAAAAAATAGAAAAATTGAATAATCGCAAAACTGATAAAATTGAGAAATTGAAAAGTGCCAAAACTGAAATTTTAAAAAATTAGAAAATCCAGGAATCAAAATTGAAAACATCGCCAAATCGAAATATCAAAAGATGGAAAAATCGGTAAGTTGAAAAGTCCAAAAATCGGAAAATTGACAAAGTAAAATTTAAAATCGGGAAATCCAAGAATGGAAAAATGGAAAATTTAAATAATGGAAAAACTAAAGAAACAAAAAAATAAAACGAGAATTTAAAAAATCGAAAATTGAAAAATTGAAGAATCGAAAAATTCTAAATTGAAAAATTTAAACTAAAAAAAATCGATGAATCAAAAATTGAAAGATCGAAATCTCGAGAAATCAAACATTTTAAAATCTAAATATGAAAAACCGAAAAATCTAAAAGCGAGAAAAATTGAAGAATCGCAAAACAGAAAAATCGAGAAATTGGAAAAATCTCAAGACTGAAATGTCGAAAAATTAGAAAATCCAGGAATCAAAATTGAAAATATCGCCAAATCGAAAAATCAAAAGTTGAAAAAAAATCGAGAAGTTGAAAAGTACAAAAATCGAAAAATTGGGAAATTCAGTGAATATCGAAAATTTTAAACCTTAATAAATCGAAAAATCTAAAACCGAGGGCGAAAATTGAAACATCAAAAAAGTAAAAAATTCGAAGAATTGTAAAATCTAAAAATTGAGAAATCGAAATGGCCCAAAATCGAAAAATTCCAAATTAAAAAATTTAAATTAAAAAAAATCGATGAATCGAAAAAATGAAAGATCGAAATCCTGCGAAACCGAAAAATTTAAAAATTTTAAAAATCGGTAAATTAAATAACCGAAAATTCTATAAATGAGAAGGCGAATAAACGAGGAATCGAAACAACGAAAAATTAAAGAATCGAAAAACTGAAATATAAACTCCCAAAACTGAAATGTCGAAAAATTAAAAAATGGACAAATCGAAATTGAAAAAGATGTAGAAATGAAGAAGTTGAAAAGTCAAAAAATCTAAAAGCAAGAAGGCGAAAAATTGAAGAATCGCAGAATTGAAAAATTAAGAAATTGGAAAATCCCAAAACTGAAATGTCGAAAAATTGAAAACATCGCCAAATCAAAATATGAAAAGATGGAGAAATCGAGAAGTTGAAATTTCCAAAAATCGAAAAATTGAAAAACCAAAAAATCGAAAAACAAGGCGAAAATTGAAACATCAAAAAAGTGAAAAATATAAAATTAAAAAAATTCAAAAAATCGAAATGGTCCAAAATCGAAAAATTCCAAATTCAAAAATTTAAATAAAAAAAATCGATGAATGAAAAAAGTGAAAGATCGAAATCCTGAGAAATCGAAAAATTCAAAACTTGAAAAAATCGCTAAATTGAAAAACCGAAAAATCTAAGTAAGAAGGCGAAAAGCCGAAAAAAATTGAGGAATTGAAAAATTGAAAAAGATGGACAAATGAAGAACTTGAGAAGTCAAAAAATCGAAAAATTGAGAAATTGGAAAGGTCTAAAATCGAAAGCAAGAAGGCGAAAGAGCGACAATCGAAAGAAACATCAAAAAAATGAAAAATTTAGAATTAAAAATTCTAAAAATTTAAAAAACCGAAGAACAGTCAAATATAAATATTGAGAGATTGAAATATGTGTCAAAAACTTAATATATTGAAAAATAAAAATAAAAAAGAATTTAATCGAAAATTTAAAAAATCGAAAAATTGAAATATTGAAAAATCGCAAAACTGAAACATTGAAAATTTCGAGAAATCGGAAAGACGATAAACCCAAAAATTGAGGAATCGAAAATTTCAAACATCGTAAAACTGAAATATCAGAAAATGAAAAATCGAATATTGAAAAACCCGAAAACTTGAGAGATCGAGAAATCGGAAAGATGAAAAATCGAAAAATTGAAATATTGAAAAATCCGAAAACTTTGTAAATCAAGAAACTGAAAAATCGAGAAATCGGAAAGACAAAAAATCATAAAATCGATAATTTAAGAACGCCAAAAATTCAAAAATCGAATAATTGAAAAATCTAAAAGCAAGAAAATGAAAAATCGAAGGATCCAGAACGGAAATTTTGAAATAAAAATTCTAAATATTTAAAAAATCGAAGAACTGGAAAATGGAAAAATTGAGACATTGAATTATGACATTATGTTGAGAAATAAAAAAAAAAAAATTAAAATCGAAAAATCGTAAAACATCGGAAAATTTCGTCGCCGCGAAATTGAAAAATTGTTATTTTGAAAATCTGCTGGATGCCTCTGGTAAAAACTCGACACGCAATTGTAAACCGCAAGTGGAGGAGCACGTTGTTTTATAAAATTTACTATTCTAAAATTTAAAGACGACGTCATTTCATTGTTGGTGGGAATGACACATACGGCGGACAGAAGGACGGAAAGGGAGACCTATTTTTTTATACTCTATTCATGAAACGTCGAAAAAACGTGAAAGGGGCAGTCGCCCGATGGACTCGATTACAATACTTTCTTAGCTTACGCTCGGGAAATAAAAAGAAAAAGAGATTATAAAAATGCTTTCGAGAAGTTTCTTGAAGGAGTGGACACTCACTACATTTACGTCCATTTCAATTTCTTGAAATTGACATCAAGTTTATAATATAAAGTTAGCCCAAACTCTATTCCACCTATCTGCTGTTCCTTGTGTCCATATTTCGCCAAATTGATGTTACATGAACACAAACCTTTCAAGAAAACAACATCGGTAAACAGAAAAAACTCATCTCGTTTGAAGCACCGGTGCGCATATTATTTACACATTTACTACCAAACCAAACATAATTTAGTGGCTTTTAAATGATTTTATTAGCATAGAAATGAATCTTGTGGCAATAATTGTTAACAAACAACTATAAAGTGCCGTAATCTCATTATTTTGTCCGGTAGTAAAATTAAAACGTTTCTAACTTTCACGATTTATGTTTTTATTGCGTCAAACAAACCATCCGTGCAGAATATTGTCATAGATATCGTTTTTAAAACATTTCCGTGACAAATATTTATCAGAAATTGGTCCTTGTCAAAATTCATTGAATCGTTACGTCACACTTTAGAAAATAAACACAAAAAATATTGTTCCTAGAAACTGGAATATTGTTCGTGTTTGTAAAATTAAGAGCACGGACTAGGAGGGGCGCCTATTATGCAATAATGTTTAAAAAAGTGGTGTTCAGCTGAGTGGTATCCTCGACCTGGTAACTGTTCGAAACGTTTCCGACCAATCAAGTATAATAATTTGTCGAGGAAAATAGAGTCATTAAAAGTGATAATAAAAAAAAAAAATCGTGTTGTCCGAAGCCCAACCCACATAATACTGCTATAATTAAAAATGACGCCTCTCCTTCTGATTAGTCATTCAAATTATTACTACGCTACTTAATAAAACCGCCAAAATTATGGCACGAGTGTCTGGTTTCGTCTAACGAGTTTCATATATGCAGGGGTCATTTTATACCGGGGTTTGTCACTCGAGAGAAATCCACGAACGTGCTTTCGCATACAAATTTTTTAGCTTCGTCACATTACCAACAGTTAATCCACAGTTAATCCCCAATAAAAAGCACATTGTTTAACTTATTAATAACGTCATGCTAGTCATCCACATGCAGTTTTTATAGCGAATTTAGCCGCGAACTTCCGTTTCCGCCCCTTTCGACCCAGTCAGCACATTATGAAACTCTAATCAAACTTTTTAGTGCAATTCCTGCACGTCCATGCAATCCAAGGTCTGCTCTGTAAATGATTTAATTTAATCCGACACCTTGCATTCGTGCGTGCAATTTTTTTTCCAGGGTGGAGTTAACGAGATTCCTTTCCCAAGCTAATTGAATTAAAATCCCCGAATTCTTATTTTAATTAAGCGGGTCAGAGTGCACAGCGTGCTTTAAAAATACCGAACTCATTATCTCGTAGTTAGTCACTAGGTTGCGGTCCGATGAAGTCAGCTTGACCTTCTCGTTTTTAATTCCGCACTTGGAAGAAATTATCCTTTAATTATGATTTGCAGGAAATGGTCCACGCTAAGGATCCGCCCTCGTACTACTTGAATAAATTACGGACTTATCTCGACCCGAAAGCGTCCAGAAGCCATAGGGTAAGTTTTTTCTGTGCAACCAACCCCTATCACAGGTCGTTAAACCCTTAACACAATCAAATTAAGTGTGAAGTAGGAAAGGGTTGGTTAACCGGGGAACAATACGCCCGCTAGATAGCGGGATAGATAGAACAAACATACATGGAGGCTACAATTACAATTAAGTTGTTTATTTAATGGTTTTATGATTAAATATGTCATCAGTGAATTTATTAAGGTTAAATGTATGCGAGTCGTGGTCGAGATTGAGCTTTTTTGGCGACGGACTTGGCTTGCGGTCAGTGGCGGCGCCACGACTGCCGCAAGAGTGCTTAATTTAAATCTTTTAAATATGAAAACTAAAAGTGAAATTTTCTTCTTAATTTTCTATTTAATTTTTAAAGACTTGTGAAGTTTGGTCGGATTTTTTACAGTGATTAAAGTCGTACATTCAGAAATTATCTTCGTAATGACTCAAATATCCTATTCTTTTTTTTGGACAAAAGGACTCCAAAATTACTAGAATTATTGATCTATTTTATGTTAAAAAATATGAAAAGTTAAAATATCATTAGAAGTTAATGTGGTAATTTTTGAAAACTAAAACTGAAATTTTGTGTTCGATTTTGAAAATTTGTGAAGTTACTAAGATTTTTAATAATAATTAAAGTCCTACATTCAGTAATTATCTTTTTAATTATTCAATTTCCATATTCTTGTTTAAAATAGAATTTGGAAATATTTGTCTGTCGAAAGATTGGAAATTTCATAATTACAAAACCTGGGAAATTAGATCAGGCACCAATTACCAGGTTACTACCAACTTCGTCATTACATGAAAGCCTAAATCTAAACAGAACAGAAACTTTAAAGCCAAATTGAACATTTAAGGCTGTTGCTACGATGAAATGAACAAGAAATATTTCCATAAGAATCAAACGTAAAATGATGGTTAAGGAACTGCGAAAAAATGTATTGTTGTATTCTTGATGGTTCTATTGGCAATTTTTTTGGACAAAAGGACCCCAAAGTTAATGGAATTATTGATCATTTTTAGTAAATGTGGTAATGTTTGAAAACTAAAACTGAAATTTTGTGTTCGATTTTGAAAATTTGTGAAGTTACTCGGATTTTTAAAAATGACCAAAGTCCTACATTTAGTAATTATCTTTCTAATTATTCGATTTTCATGTTCTTGTTTAAAATAAAATTTGAAAATATTTGTCTGTCGAAAGATTGGAAATTTCATAACCACAAAACCTGGGAAATTAGATCAAGCACTAATTACCCGGTTATTACCAACTTCGTCATTACATGAAAACCTAAATCTAAACAGAACAGAAACTTTAAAGCCAAATTGAACATTTCAGGCTGTTGCTACGATGAAATGAACAAGAAATATTTCCGTAAGAATCAACCGTAAAATGGTGGTTAAGGAACTGCGAAAAATGTATTGTTGTATTCTTGATGTTTCTATTGGCAATTTTTTTGTACAAAAGTACTCCAAAATTAATGGAATTATTGATCATTTTTAGTAAATGTGGTAATGTTTGAAAACTAAAACTGAAATTTTGTGTTCGATTTTGAAAATTTGTGAAGTTACTCGGATTTTTAATAATAATTAAAGTCCTACGTTCAGTAATTATCTTTTGAATTACTCAATTTTCATGTTCTTGTTAAAAATAAAATTTGAAAATATGTACTTGTCTGTCGAAAGATTGGAAATTTCATAATCACAAAACCTGGGAAATTACATCAAGCACCAGTTACCAGGTAATTACCAACTTCGTCATTACATGAAAGCCTAAACCCAAACAGAACAGAAACTTTAAAGCCAAATTGAATATTTAAGACTGTTGCTACGATGAAATGAACAAGAAATATTTCAGTAAGAATCAAACGTAAAATGATGGTTAAGGAACTGCCAAAAAATGTATTGTTGTATTCTTGATGGTTCCATTAGCAATTTTTTTGGACAAAAGGACTCCAAAATTAATGGAATTATTGATCATTTTTAGCAAATGTGGTGATGTTTGAAAACTAAAACTGAAATTTTCTGTTCGATTTTGACAATTTGTGAAGTTACTCGGATTTTTAATAATAATTAAAGTCCTACATTCAGTATTTATCTTTTGAATTACCCAATTTTCATGTTCTTGTTTAAAATAAAATTTGAAAATATTTGTCTGTCGAAAGAAAATTCATAACCACAAAACCTGGGAAATTAGTTCAAGCACCAATTACCAGGTTATTACCAACTTCATTACATGAAAGCCTAAATCTAAACAGAACAGAAACTTTAAAGCCAAATTGAACATTTAAGGCTGTTGCTACGATGAAATGAACAAGAAATATTTTCATAAGAATCCAACGTAAAATGATGGTTAAGGAACTGCGAGAAAATGTATTGTTGTATTCTTGATGGTTCTATTGGCAATTTTTTTGGACAAAAGGACTTCAAAATTAATAGAATTATTGATCATTTTTAGTAAACGTGGTAATGTTTGAAAACTAAAACTGAAATTTTGTGTTCGATTTTGAAAATTTGTGAAGTTACTCAGATTTTTAATAATAATTAAAGTCCTACATTCAGTAATTATCTTTTGAATTACTCAATTTTCATGTTCTTGTTTAAAATAAAATTTGAAAATATTTGTCTGTCGAAAGGTTGGAAATTTCATAACCACAAAACCTGGGAAATTAGATCAAGCACCAATTACTAGGTTACTACAAACTTCATTACATGAAAGCATAAATCTAAACAGAACAGAAACTTTAAAGCTAAATTGAACATTAAGTTTGTTGCTACGATGAAATGTACAAGAAATATTTCCTTAAGAATCAAACGGAAAATGATGGTTATAGGAAAAAATTTATTGTTTTATTCTCAATAGTTCTATTGGCAATTTTATGAGCAGATAAACTCCAAAATTACTGTAATTACTCATATTTTTTATGTTAAAAAATGTGAACAGTAAAAATATCGTCGATAAAAATAAATATGGTAGTGTTTGAAAACTAAAACTGAAATTTTATATTTGACTTTATAAACTTTTGGAGTTACTCGGATTTTTAATGATTAAAATCGGTACATTCAATAATTTTCTTCGTAACGATTCAAATTTCCTATTCGTGATTCAAATAATATTTAAAAATACTCGAAAGACTGGAAATTTCATAACCACAAAATCTGGTAAATTAGATCAACTACCAATTACTAGGGTATTACCAATTTCGTCATTACATGAAAGTATAAGTCTAGGCAGAAGAGAAACTTTAAAGCAAAATTGAACACCTTACGGCTGTTGCTACGGTGAAATGAACAAGAAATATTTCCTTAAGAATCAAACGTAGAATTGTAGGAATTAAGTAAAAATTTATCGTAATATTTTCAATATTTTTATAGACAATTTTATAGACGGATTTCAAAATTAATGGAATTATTCTGAAATTTTAAACGTACCTTTACATCATCGTGTAGGTGGTAAAATTCTAATCAAAATCCGTTCGTTCATACACACCAAAAATTCTCTGACGTCATTTTAACAACTATATCTTAAGTAATTTCTTGGTGAATGAAAGAATTTGAACACGAGAAATCAGGATGTCATTTTTCCCGCAGTCACCGTTATTTTCCTATTGATTCTTACGGGGTCGGCGCTATTTCCTGTCCATATCAGCGTAGCAACCGCCTTAAGCAACCCACTAAACTTGCAAACTCATAAAAATACCATTCCTCTTCAGAAACGAAAAATGGTGGGAGAATCGACCTCAACGCAAGTTCTTCGCGACTTGGAGATTTCCTTACGAACCAACCACATCGAGTAAGTCCCACCCCGTCCGTCAGCCCTAATTGACGTTTTGTCCGTAGATGGGTTAGAGAATTCCTAAACGAAGAAAACAACGGCTTAGACGTCCTCATCGACTACTTGAGTTTCCGTTTGGGCATGATGAGGCACGAACAGCGAATAGCGGAATCGCGAACAGCGTCAGAAGAACGTTTAAACCCCAATCAAACATTAAGTCCCGTTACGACAACACTAGATAAACAGAACGGTTACATTAGGTCCCCATTAGATATCCCCGACAGTCCGAGCATAAAAAGGCGCTCGAAACACGTGGCAAAATTGAATATGGGCGAATCGAAAGACGATATTCACGTTTGCATCATGTGCATGAGGGCTATAATGAACAATAAAGTGAGTTCTGCTGCGCCGACACAGTAAAGTGCTGATTTGTCTTTAAAAATTGTTGTAGTATGGATTTAATATGGTAATTCAGCATAGGGAAGCTATCAATTGTATTTCGCTAAGTCTCATTCACAAGAGTTTGAGGACGAAGGCGCTGGTGTTGGAGTTGTTGGCGGCGATTTGTTTAGTTAAGGGTGGACATGAGATTATTTTATCGGCGTTCGACAACTTCAAGGAGGTGTGTCATGAGGTGCACCGGTTTCAGACTTTAATGGATTATTTTCTCAACTACGACGTCTTCCACATCGAGTTTATGGTGAGTAGAATGTGACACGTAAAAAATTATAAATCGTGTGTGTGTGTGTGTTGTTTTTTTTTAGGTAGCCTGTATGCAATTCGTCAACATAATCGTCCACTCCGTCGAAGACATGAACTTTCGCGTCCATCTACAATACGAATTCACAGCTTTAGGTTTGGACAACTATCTCGAAAAGCTCAGGTTCACCGAAAGCGAAGAACTCCAAGTACAAATTTCGGCTTACCTAGACAATGTGTTTGATGTTGCAGCACTCATGGAAGACAGCGAAACGAAAACAGCAGCCTTAGAAAAAGTAGGAGAGTTAGAAGACGAACTTGCACAAGTAAGCCGTCACAATACTCCCCGTCTAAAAGAAAAAATAACCAAATTTTCAGATGCACGAACGAATACAAGACGTCGAACACCAAGCCTTAGAAAAAATCGCCTTTCTAGAAACCGAACTCGTCCAAATCCGACAAGAACGAGACGAACTAGCCGAATTTAAACGACACGCCGACGAAGAAGTCAGCACGTTGAGACGAGTCGTCCAACACCACGAACAGGAGTCGAAGAACCGCCAGTCGATGTTCGAGTCGAAGATCGCCGAACTGGAGAGCGCCACCAAGGGATCTTCAAGTAATTATTTTTTCCACCTTCAAGCTAAAACCACTGCCGTTCCCCTGCATCTAATTCTGAATTTAATTTATTTCAGTGTCTGGTTTGTCCGACATCCTGACGACGACGCCCCCCGACTCCACCACCTCGCCCTCCGTCTCGAATACCCCCAACTCGCCTGTGATACCGCCCCCCGCGCCGGTCGCGCCGCCGCCGCCCCCGTGCCCGCCGCCTCCCCCGTCCAGAGTGCCTTCAGCCCCCGTTCCGCCGCCCCCCGCCGGGTTCATGCAAGCTCCAGACGGTGCCATGACCATCAAACGCAAAGTCCAGACCAAGTACAAGCTCCCGACTATCAACTGGATCGCGCTAAAGCCCAATCAGGTCCGAGGGACCATCTTCAACGAGTTGGACGACGACAAGTTGCACTGCCACATCGACTTCAACGACTTCGAGGAGCGGTTTAAGATCGGTAATGCGGGTTTGTTGGCCAACGGGAACAGCGAGATCGATGGTTTGTCGACTTTCCCGAGCAAGAGGTTTAAGAAACCCGAAAATGTGACGTTGTTGGAGCACACGAGGTTGAGGAATATTGCGATTTCGAGGAGGAAGCTCGAGATGTCGCCCGAGAAAGTTATAAATGCGATAAATATGTTGGATCTGAAGCAGCTGTCGCTGGAGAACGTGGAGTTGTTGCAGAGGATGGTGCCGTCGGAGCAGGAGACGAAGGCGTATAGGGAATACGTGAGCGAGAAGAAGAACGTGAACTTGCTGACGGAGGAGGATAAGTTTTTATTGCAGTTGACGAAGGTCGAGAGGATTTCGGCGAAGTTGTCGATTATGAGTTATATTGGCAACTTCTACGACAATTTGCATCTGATTGCGCCTGTAAGTAGGGGTTGGGTTGCGATGAATTAGGCAGTGTTAAGTTTCGGGTTTTAGCTCAAAAATAAATTCATCCGTGAAGTATTTAAAACGCTTTCAAAGGTCTAAAAATTATCATTTTTGAATCGGTTGTCCACTAATCTAAAAATATTCAAAATTGGGTATCATTAACTGTTTTATTACGATATCAAAGCCCAAACAATGTATCAGAATTTCTAAATATTTATGGCAACTAATACACATTTTTTGATTTAAAAAAATTTCATGACATACCTGATATCGACTTCTAGTTTTGGACACCATCTCCTGATTGGTTTTTATCTATATATATTTTTATCTATAGGTCGATGTGTCTGTATGTCTGCCGTCTGTCCGAATTTTTATTAGACAAATTATCTCCGAAACTACTGGACCGATTGTTATCTATTTCAATTTTATAAAATAAGATAATTCTTCACATGCGGTTTATGAATTTGTGTTCACTTTTTACATCGGTAATCAAAATTTATTCGTTTATTCCCGTCCAGAAAATTCGTGACGTGATCTTAAAATTTTACTGATCTTAGAATTACTTACACAGTGACTCAAAAAAAAAATGAATAAATGATTGAAAAATTTATTGTATTGATTAAGATCAAGAACGAAAAAAAAAACGAAAAAAGTCATCAAGTTGGCATTGCTTTTTTGATAGAAGAAAACAGAGGAAAACGCATGTGTTTTATTAATTCATACTGCTCTATATAATTGACATTTCCGCGTTATCAGCTGTCATCGATTAAATTTGAGATTAATTGTTCGCAATGTTTACAAAAGATTAAAGCCAACTTGATGACTTTTTTAATTGAATACCCGTTATCTTTATTTTAACTTACGAGGGTTATAAGAAAATAAAAGTTGCAAAATCAAATTTTGCAGTTTTTCGAAAATTCTGGATTTATTTACCTTCGACCAATTTTTTTATTACAGTTTTTCGTTTTTTAATTTTTCAATTTCTCGATGTCCGAATATTCAATTTTGCAATTTTTCGATTTTTCAGTTTCTCAATTTGTAATTTTTCGTTACCTTAATTTTCCAAGTTCTTGATCCAAAGTATGCTTTCTAGCTAAAATTTGTTGATTTCCTTGGTATTTTCTGGCCCGTTGGGTGCTTGAAACGTTAGAAAACACAAGAAGAAAAAGTCATGTTTCTGAAGTTTTTTTAATAAATTTCATGAATCTACAAAGGCCAGAATGTGATTTTTTTAATTTTTATTTTCTCATTTCCTTAATTTTTTTTCAATATGTATTTTATTTATTCAAATTTTCAATCTCAATTTTTCAATTCATCGATTTTCCAATTTTTAAATTTTCACTTTTACAATTTTGGAATTTCCCAATTATCCGATTTTTATTAATTTCAATATTTCGTTTTTACAATTTTTTTTCGATTTTTAAGTTTCTCAGTTTTTAATCTTTCGTTTTTTCAATTTTTCATGTTCTTGGTTTTTATTTTTCATTTTCCCGATGTTTTAATTTTCATTATCTCGATTTTATACTAAAATTTTTCGTGTATTCAATTTTTGTCAAATTTTGAATCTTTGATTTTTCAATTCCTTAATTTTTTTAATCTTTCGATCATTTTTAATTTTTCACTTTTGCAATTTTTTTTTTGTTATTCGAAAAACTGAAAAATTAAAAATCGAAAAATTGAATAAACAAAAAAAAATTAAAATCCAATATGCAATTGAAAAATGGAAAAATTATAAAATTAAAAAGTGAAAAGTCTTCAATTATAATTACATATTATTTCTTCAAATGAAAACTAGAAAAATTGCAAATCGGAAATTGAAGAAACGAAAAGTTGCAAATTGAAAATTAAAACATTTCACGTTGAAAAAAGAAAAATAAAATGAGAACATTGAAAAACCGACAAATTGAAAAAATAAAGAAAATAAAAAACCGAAACGAAAAATTACAAAATCTAAAAAATGAAAACTCAAAAAGTTTCCATATCGTAAAATTGAAGAACAAAAAAAAATTACAAATCGAAAAATTAAAAAAAATAAAAATTTAAAATCCAATATGCAATTAAAAAATGGAAATATTCTAAAATTTAAAAAGTTAGAAGTTTTAAATTATAATTACATATTATTAATACTTACCATGAAAAGTAGAAAAATTGCAAATCAAAAATTGAAGAAATGAAAAATTGGAAAATCCAAAAGTTGCAATTCGAAAAATCCAAAAATTGAAACATTTCATTTTGAAAAAAATTGCAAAATAAAAAACCGAAACGAAAAATTGCAAACTAAAAAATGAAACATCCAAAATTTGGGAAATCGAAATACTGAAAAATACTGAAGAGTTTACATATCTTACAATTGAAGATAAAAAAAAATGAAAAATCGAAAAATTGCAAATCGAAAAATTGAAAAAATTAAAAATTGAAAACTCGAGTAATTGTAAACTGAGAAATTGCAAAACCTAAGAATTGAAAAATTTTAAAGTTGGAAAATTGAAAAACTGAAGAAACAAAGAAAATAAAAATAGAAAAATTTAAAAATTCAAGTCAAAAAAGCTGCGATTTTCACATTTCCTTTATTTTTTCAGTATGTATTTTGTTTATTCAATTTTTCAAATTTTTAATCTTCAATATTTCTTTCCAATTTTTTAATTTTTCAGTTCTGCAATTTTTGGATTTCTCGATTATCCTATTTCTTTAATTTTCAATATTTCGGTTTTACAATATTTCATTTTTTCGATTTTTAATAATCTGGATTTTTCAATTTTCCGTTTCCTCAATTTTCCAAGTTCTTGATTTTTATTTTACATTTTCCCGATTTTTCAATATTCATTGTCTCAAATTTATACAACAATTTTTCGTTTCCAGGTTTCAAATTTTCTTCGATTTTTCAATTCCTCGATTTTCCGATTTCTTTAATTTTCAGTATTTCGTTTTTGCACTATTACATTTTTTCGATTTTACACTATTAAGTTTCTCTTTCGATCATTTTTGATTTTTCAATTTTGCAATTTTTTTTTTGTTATTCGAAAAGTTGAAAAATCGAAAAATTAAAAATTGATAAACTAAAAAACTGGAAAAAAAAATTAAAAATCGAAAAACTGGGAAAACTAATTCAAATTGCAAAATTGAAAATTGCAGAATTGAAGAAACGAAAAATTGAAACATTGAAAAATCTGGAGACTTAAAAATAAAAAAAATAAAGAATCAAAAATTGGGAAGAATAAAAAACAAACCGAATCATAAAATTGGAAAATCGTCAAAATGGTACAGTCGAAAAACTGTAAAATCAAATAAATGAAACAAATTATCCAATATGCAATTGAAAAATGGAAAAAAATTTAAGTGTTAAATTAAAAAAGTGAAAAGAGTTAAATTATATTTACATATTATTTTTGTATTATTATTACTTCAAGTGAAAATTAGAAAAATTGCAAATCAAAAATTAAAGAAACGAAAAGTTGAAAAATCGAAGAGTTGCTAATCGAAAAATCCAAAAAGTGAATCATTCACGTTGAAAAAAAGAAAAATAAAATGAGAACATTGAAAAACCGAAAAATTGGAAACTCGTGAAATTGCACATCGAGAAATTGCAAACTCTAAAAAATGAAACATCCAAAATTTGGGAAATCGAAATATGTACTGAAAAATACTGAAGAGTTTACATATCTTAAAATTGAAGATAAAAAAAAAATAAAGATTGAAAAATTGCACATCGAAAAATTATAAAAATAAAGAAAATAAAAAACCTAAACGAAAAATTAAAAAAATAAAAATTGAAAACTCGAGCAATTGTAAACTGAGAAATTGCAAAACCTAAGAATTGAAAAATTCAAAAGTTGGAAAATTGAAAAACTGAAGAAACAAAAAAATTGAAAATAGAAAAATTTAAAAATTCAAGTCAAAAAAGCTGCGATTTTCACATTACATTTATTTTTTCAGTATGTATTTTGTTTATTCAATTTTTCAAATTTTCAATCTTCATTATTTCTGTCCAATTTTTAAATTTTTCAGTTCTGCAACTTTTGGATTTCTCGATTATCCTATTTTTTAATTCTCAATATTTCGGTTTTACAATATTTCATTTTTTCGATTTTTAAGTGTCTCAATTTTTAATCATTGGATTTTTCAATTTTCCGTTTCCTAAATTTTCCAAGTTCTTGATTTTTATATTACATTTTCCCGATTTTTTCATTGTGTCTACAACAATTTTTCGTTTATCCAGTTTTTCAAATTTTCTTGGATTTTTCAATTCCTCGATTTTCCGATTTCTTTAATTTTTAGTATTTCGTTTTTACACTTTTCCGACTGTTAAGTTTCCCTTTCGATCATTTTTGATTTTTCAATTTTGCAATTTTTCCGTTTTTTTTTTTTTTGTTTTCGAAAAGTTGAAAAATCGAAAAATTAAAAATTGCTAAACTAAAAAGTCGGAGAAAAAATAAAAATCGAAAAACTGAGAAAACTAATTAAAATTGCAAAATTTAAAATTGCAGAATTGAAGAAACGAAAAATTGAAACATTGAAAAACTAAAAATCTGGACACTTCATAATAAAAAAAAATAAAAAATCAAAAACTGGAAAAAAGAAAAAACAAACCGAATCATAAAATTGGAAAATCTAAAAATTGAAAAGTCGTCAAAATGGTAAACTCGAAAAACTATAAAATCGAATAAATGAAACGAATTTTAAATCCAATATGCAATTGAAAAATGGAAAAAATTTAAAATTGTAAAATTAAAAAAGTGAAAAGTCTTAAATTATAATTACATATTATTTTTGTATTATTATTACTTCAAGTGAAAATTAGAAAAAATTGCAAATCAAAAATTAAAGAAACGAAAAGTTGAAAAATCGAAGAGTTGCTAATCGAAAAATTGGAAGCTCGTGAAATTGCACATCGAAAAATTGCAAAATCTAAAAAATGAAACATCCAAAAGTTGTGAAATTGAAACACTGAAAAATGTAAAAATGAAAAATGGAAAAATTCTAAAATTGTAAAATTAAAAAAGCGAAAAGTCTTAAATTATAATTACATATGTATTATTATTAATACGTAAAATGAAAAGTAAAAAAATTGCAAATCAAAAATGAAAGAAACGAAAGATTGAAAAAACGGAAAATTAAAAAATCTAAAAGTTGTATAATCGAAAAGTTCTTAATCAAAAAATCCAAAAATTGAATCATTCACGTTGAAAAAAAGAAAAATGAAATGAAAACATTGAAAAACGGAAAAATTTTCAAAATAAAGAAAATAAAAAACCGAAAAATTTTTAAAGCTCGTGAAATTGCATATCGAAAAATTGCAAAATCTAAAATCAAAATATTTGAAAAATTTAAAAATGAAAACTCGGAAGTGTTTACATATCGCAAAATTGAAGACAAAAAAACGAAAAATGGCAAAATTGTAAAATTAAAAAAGTGTAAAGTCTTAAATTATAATTACACATTATTATTAATAACGAGCGTTCAAATAAAAATGACGTCAAGATGGCTTTGTAAATGTGAATTTAGGGCTTAGTGAATGATTCGTCCACATTTCCAAAGCCAACTTGACGTCGTTTTTATTGGAACGCTCGTTATAAAATGAAAACTAAAAAAAATGCAAATCAAAAATTAAAGAAACGAAAAATTGGAAAAATAAAGAAAATAAAAAACCGAAACGAAAAATTGCAAGCCGAAAAATTTAAAAATTCAAATCAGAAAGCTGCAGGGGTGTTATTTACTGATTCTAACTTTATAGAGGTTATCAGAAAACAACAGTCGCAATTTTTTTTTATAATTTTTCAAAGAAGCGGGATTTGTTCGACTAGAGGCAAAGGAAGTTCTCTTGAAATAACCTTCAACTAACTTTTTTGAAATGTAATGTGTAACCACACGACTGATTAATTTTAAACTAATTTTAGCAAACCCACGCTATCATTTCTGGCTCCAATTCTGTAAAGAATTCGAAGAAACTCAGATCGGTGTTGGAAATAATCCTAGCCTTTGGTAATTACTTGAACAGTAGCAAGCGTGGGCCTGCCTATGGATTCAAATTACAATCCCTCGACACTCTCTTGGACACAAAATCAACAGACAAGCGAACGTGTCTCCTTCACTACATAGTTTCAACCATCAGACAAAAATTCCCCGAATTGCTCAGCTTTGATTCGGATCTCCACTACATAGAGAAAGCTGCAGTTGGTAAGCCTTGAAAAAAATAAAACAATTATTAATTTTTCCGCGACAAAATTTAACACTTTTTGGTAATTTATTCGCCCTAAATCATTGCTGGATCAACCTCAATAAATCCATTAGGGAAAATTTTTTATGTCGTCTTTTCCCCCAGTTTCTCTAGAAAACATCACCACTGATGTCCACGAATTAGAGAAAGGAATGGAAGCGGTCCGAAAAGAAGCGGAAATTCGTGGAAAAGGCGCCCACAGTATAGTAGTGCGCGACTTCCTCGCCAACGCCGAAGAGAAACTGCGCCGGTTGAGAAACGACGCGAAAGCGGCACAAGAAGCCTTCAGAGAGTGCGTCGAATATTTCGCGGAATCGCCGCGAACGACCGACGCGAATTCCTTCTTTTCGCTCTTAGTCAGGTTCGTGAAGGCGTTCAAGGTAAGTAATTGCGATTTATGGCGACTCCCTTCCATAAATAATAATAACTTGTCAAAACGCAGCACGCTGATCAGGAGAACGAGCAAAGAAGGAGGCTGGAAATCGCCGCCCAGAATGCCAACAATAAGACCAACGAGGACGTCGCCAAAAAGAATAAAATCAACCAGAAGAAGCAGCAGGTAAAACGAGCAATAGCGAAAGGTGGTACGGTAAAGTAGGGTAGAGTAGACCAGGATGCGAGGCGTTTCTGTTGGGATATCGAGGTGGCTTGTGTCAACAGGGATGTCGTTGTAGTACGAGATTTCAGGGTGCAATTATTTTGACGTAATTTTTGACCTTCAACGAAATTTCATTAAACTTATTAAAGCGCTTTTGTTTTCTTTTTTAATTAAACAAACGTACTATGAACGTCAATCAATTAAAATTTATTAACGTAGTAAGCTACTCCAATTGTTGGAATGGAAATTTTATGCTCGAATTGTGACCTTCAGATCTCGGAATACTGGTGGTAATGCATCTACTAACTTGTGATTAATTAATTAACATGCTTCTAGTCGCACATTCATTTTAACCCTTCCTTTAATCATTCGTGTTCTTCCTATACCTTGCAAGTATTGAAAATGTAAACGTGGCATGCAATGTTCATCCATTGGCTCTCATTGTGTCGTATTTTCAGCCACCGAAATTACCAAATTTTTTGGTTAAAATACTGGAAGAATAAGTTTTTCTAGAGTAAGTTCTCTTTATTCTGTAAGTTGTAAGTATAGGTGGAAACTTATAATAACCCGACTAAATCATTTTGCACCAACTACTTGACGCTAAACTCGTGAAAGACGCAAGTGGGCGGAGCTACAATTGTCATTTGAAGCCTACTCGCGTCTTAAAAATTTTTTGTACCATAAATTTGTTTCCGTAGGACGCTGTGATAAACGAACTAAAGCACAAAACAAGACTGGTACAAGAAAAGAAACTTCTCCAACAGGACGAAGTGTATAACGGTGCTTTGGAAGACATTTTGTTAGGACTTAAAAGTGAACCGTACCGAAGAGCGGACGCCGTCAGAAGAAGTCAAAGAAGAAGGATAGATAATAATAGGTTGTCCAAAACAATGGAGGAGCTCGAAGTGTAATTATTCCGGATTTTTGTACATATTTTTGTAAATTTTGGTCTTAGCTCTCTGAATTTTGTATGATATTAAAGAATTGTTATTGTATTTAAATATTTTTGTATATAAGGCAATTTTATAAAGTACTATTAGTTGTAGGGCTATTTTTATAAAAGTTTAAGATGTACACTGAGCAAACCACCAAGGCACATTCCTTATCTTTGTCAGTGGTGTGTTTTATTTTTTTGTGATTGAATATTTAAATTTTGTATAGTAAGTTTGTTTTGAAGATAGTGAGCAATAAAGATTATTGATTTTAATATAATGTGTGTTTGAAATTTTCCCTTAGTGAAGTTACAGGTTGATTTTTGTGGAGGCGCCATCTGTCGGAAACTTTGGAAAGTTTGCGGTAATTTTGTTTTCCGACGATAATTATTTTTTGGTTTTGGACGTAAATTTAGTTTTGGAGTTCGTTTGTGATGCGAGATTTATAGAAAACTAATAGTTTGTAGAAATTTCTGTAAATAATTAATTCTAGCGGTTTGCGAAACGTGTCCCATTTTTACGTAAATGTTGGCAGCCCGTGGAGGGGATGCTGACGCATGTCAGAAACAGACTGCAATGAAAATGGCGTCCTGTTGTCAGGATCGGTTTCGACAAAATTTTAACTCTTGAAAACTTTCATGACCCATGCTTCATCAAGTAAAATGAACTAAAAAGAATCAATCTAAAAGATTAGTAGTACAAACCAAGTAAAATATTTTGTCTAAAAAGCCATCAGTACCCGTAGAACGAGCAGGATAAAAAAGGGCTTCGAGATGTCCCGAAAATCTGTTTGGTTTTAGTGCTGTGGAGTGTTTGTTCGTCGGAAACGGACTCTTTACAGTATTGGGGTGAGTTTTTAACCATTTTCGTCCGCCCTTCGGCCGCTTCCTTGCCCGTTTCGCTGCGAAAACCGCTTTTGACCCACCCAAACCACCACGTTCGCCATCATCACGTTCGCGTTCCAAGGTCACCTACGTCAAAGCGTTCCGCGATTTTCGGGGCTCAGGCGGCGTTCTTGCGTGCAGTGGGCTCTCGGGGGGGCACCTGGGGCGGTCGTGAAGAACAAAAACGGGCAGCGGAGCGCCGGCGGCCGATGACTCATGGATCCACGCATGCCAACATGTCACCAGCCAGTGTCAACATAACCAACAAAAGTCTCCAATGAGTTTTTGAGTATGTGGTGTTTTTGCAGAGGATCACCCGGAGGAACAACAGCACCGTGTAATATGTGCTGCACCGCTCCTCTCTCCGGTTCGTAAAATGGAAAAAAATCGGCATGGGCGACATAGCAAAGATAAGTCGAAAAAGTCGAAAAAGCGCAAAAATCGAGAAGCGAACGGTTCCTCTGCGTCCGGGAGTTTGTTAGCGAGTTGCAAACCGCTAGTGGAGTACTCTGATGTTAGTTCGGAGGACCTTTCAGGACCCGAAGCTGGTGAGATACAGAGTGGAGAAGAGAGCTTCAGTCTGAGTGATGACGGTGAGATAATGCATAGGAGTAGTCGACATAGCAGATTCACGCGGCTTGAAGAGGAATATTACCTTGCCCGACAGAGCCAGTTGGTCATTGGCCACTCTCCAGGTACACACTTTCATTACGTCCTAAAACCGCCCCTGAACTTCCGCAGACCCGATTTACGTGCTCTGATAAAACTGAACTAAACGGGATCATATTGCATACCATAAAGTCATCAGGTTCTCAATTTCATGGTAATACTAACACTCATTACGTTACACGTGCCTATAAAAATCAATTTATTGTCTTGGTTTTATAGACATATACATATGCATAAACTTGGCGACAATAAGAGTTTTGATGACCACTTTTACACGAATTTCAAGGTTTTTATGTATTTGGCAAATATTAGAATAAACTGATGAACTTGGAGTTGTATCTGGCCAGATCTGGTTAATTGTTCCTTTTTGAGTTGAACCTGTTATTTGAAACAATAAATAAACTGCCACTATTACAATTTACAACGGCGGAAAGCCAAATAACGTAAAATATATTTTGTTGTAATGTTGGGAAATAATATTGATGTATGCAATCAAGGATAAACTTACCAAATATGATTTCTTTTATCAAACCAGAAAAGTCTTGAGAGTTTAAATCAAGCTAAAATGACTTTTACAAAACTTCTAGAAGTGAATTATAATACAAATAAAGTCTACACAAATATTTATTTCTGTTTGTTTTGTCGAGTAATAAATTATTAGCATGCAATGTTCTGAAAAATACACGGTGTCTGTTGAAATCACGTACCATTTTAATTAGTTGTGGGATGACTTTTATGAGTCCATGTTGGTTTAATACTGAAAATGATAAAACGTTAACAAACCTTCGTTATTCATCCCTCTAACGAATTAATGACGTCAACTCGATTAAATGGCGCCCGGTAATTTTAACTTTACGTACAGGGGTAGTTCAAAAAAATAGGAACATTAACAAAAATTTATTTATTCAGCCCAAGAAAGTTGACGTCATCTCAAACAGTTGTTATTCAAATGTTGTGAAAATGAACTGTTTATTGTGTGCTCAGAAGCGCGAAAAGTTCCACATAAATAACTGCAAGTTTTTTTCTCATTTTTAAGATAAGTTTTATAGCGAAGTGTGACTTAATTAGTCCGTAAAATTAATGTTTTTTTTTCAGCGTTAATTTATTCACGAACTATATTCAAAAAAGTTCATTTCGTGTATCCGACATGGAAACATTTTAACATTGATTCCTGATTGAAAGGCGTTTGAAGCTTTTTTACTATCTGTGTCCTCCGTATTATCTATGTCGTTAAACCAAATAATTGAGATGGCGAAAACAGGATTTACGTCACAGTTCTACTTTTTAAAAAAATGTTTAAATATTAATTCAGCTTAACCTAATTCAATCCACTTTCTTGTATGTCAAATAGGTGTATTTTGGGTATATTGTAATTGGTGTTTTACCATTGAATCAGCAAATAAATTAGAATTTAGATTTAAAATAATTATGTAAAAGAAACTAAAAAAAAATAATTTTTAAAAATTTCGTTTTGGAACAACCGAAACAATCGGAAAATAAGTTCCTTTTTTTAATCAAGTTGTTTACGCAGTTAAAAATGATCAAAACAGACGCATTTTTATCTAATGTTTTTAGAGACGACGTCATCAACTTTTGAGTGGGGCTATTCAATACATTTTATAAACGCTGCAACTATGACGAGTATTATTTGTCACCGGGCGTCGTTACCCGTCGCCATGCCAACCACGCATTTATTTCGCCCAATAAAACCACCCGGATCTGCCAAAATCCCGACTGCCCATCTCAAAACCGGCGTCTTTTGTTTTAGGTCGCAGACACCGTTTGGACCCGTCTATGATCCCCCGTTCCCCCTCCCCCACTCTGATGGTACCTCACCGCGAACGTAAGCCGTCAGTGTCGTCAAAATCGTCCCGTTCCAGCGAAGTCCGCCACCGTCGAAAAACCGAAGGTTCCCCATCCGACTACAGACAAGTGATAATATCTCCGGATTACACCGACGACTATGACTCGCTAGACCGAAAGAAACGAAAAAAGAAAGAACGAAAACACAAAAAAGAAAAAAAGAACAAGAAAAAGAAAAAACGTTCCAAACATCATTCGCGCAGCACGAGCTTAGACAGTCTAGACAGCGATTCCGTCGAAACGCCCCCGAAGTCCAAGAACGAAGAGAAGGAAGTCCTCTCCGACTGGGAGAGTCCGACTGTCAAGCCTCTCCCGCCAATCACGGACAAGATCGACACCAGCGCGTGCTCGCCGGTAAGTAATGTGAGGAATGCGCGTGCGCGGTATGTAATGTGTGAGTTAGGTGTCGAACGACAGCCACATTGCGTCGCCCGAGCCATTGGAGCCGGAAAGGCGCTCCCCCAGTCCGGTGGTGGCGGCTACGCCGCCCCCGAGAAGCCACAAGGACTACCCGCCGCCAAGGGAGTCGCCGCACACGCCACCCCTGGCGCCGATCAGGGTGAACAATTCGGTGGAGGACTACGAAAGACACAAGGCGTACGACTGTTCACCGATAGTGATTGACGATTATAGCCAAAGTCACACTTCGGTGAAGTCGCCTTACAGGAATCCCAGTCCAGATTTGGTCATGCATCATTCGCATAGTTCATCGACGTCGACGTCGAAAAGGAGAAGGCCGGAGAGGAGTTCGAGTCATCATAGGAAACACAGGAGGGAGAAGGATCATGTTAGGGATAAGAGAAGGCTGAGTAGGAGTAGGAGTCCGTTGAGTAGGAGAAGGTCGAGGTCGTCGAGTTGGAGTAGGAGGCATCATAGTCCGTCGCCTAGTAGAAGTAAGATGAAGAGGTATAGATCGAGGAGTCCCAGGAGGGATAGGGACAGGAGGTGAGTTCACACTTGTAAATAACTACTTGTGTCTATGACCTTTAATATTTCAGAAGTCGCGAGAAGAACCGCAGCCCCAGCCCTCACTCAATCAAATCCTCCCAACTAAAGAACAAAATCACCGACACTAGTCTATTCGCCGAGCTAGTGAAAGACCGGCACAAACGCGAACTCGAACTGAAGAAGCTCGAGAACATGCTAGAAAACAAAGCCGAACACAAACCAGAAACCGAGACTGAAAAAAAAACGGAACCGAGCACCGCACCGACGACGACGACCACCACCACCACCACGTCGGCGACGACGAGCGACGAAGTCGACGCCACGGCCAACACAAAGAACAACGCCAACATCCCCATTCCTATGGACATCGACGACATCCCGATACCATCCGACCAAAACGTCGTCAAGCTGAACGAAATCGCCTTACCTGAAACCGTGCCGTTACCGAACGAGAGGCCCGAACAACCGCCGACGCCGCCGCTCCCCAACTCGCTGCCGCCGAAGCTGGCCAACTCCGTCGACAAGGTGCAGCCGCCGCTGCCCCCGGCGACGGCGCCGCTCCCCAAGAAGGAAACCGGCAAGAAGCAGAGGGGCTCGATCACCAAGCTGCCGATGCCGCCGGGGATGAACCAGAGCGAGCTGGAGAACATCGAGTCGCCGCCGAGCAGGTCGCCCACGCCGCCGGCGGTGGTCAAGGCCAAGACGCCGCCGTTGAAGAAGGGGATCATGAACCTGCCGATGCCGCCAGGTAAGCAAGATTTTGTGTCGAAAAAAGTGGTCTCCCGTTTTTGCGATAGTAAATGTTATTTAAATTTTATCAAATCACATTTGACCATTTTTTTTACTTGGATAGTTAACCACTATTTATAGTAATTCCAGGAACGGAGGAACTGAGCGGTGACGACGACGTCACTAACACCCCTCCGCGAATCGTGAACAACAAGGTGGGCGAGAAATCCCGAGCGACGCCGAAGCCTCGCTTAAAACGTCCGAAGATCCTCAAGCGGAGGGGTTCGAGGAACTTCCAGGCGGTCAGCGGGAAAGACTGGGGCGAGCGATGCGTCGACATGTTCGAGGTGATCGCCCAAATCGGCGAAGGGACTTACGGGCAAGTGTACAAAGCCAAAGACGTGGACGCCGGGGAATTAGTGGCCTTGAAAAAAGTAAGATTAGAGAATGAAAAAGAAGGCTTCCCAATTACCGCCGTTAGAGAGATAAAGATCTTAAGACAGTTGAATCACAAAAATATCGTTAATTTAAGGGAGATCGTTACGGATAAGCAGGATGCTGTGGATTTCCGGAAAGACAAAGGCTCGTTTTATTTAGTTTTCGAGTACATGGACCATGATCTGATGGGACTGTTGGAATCGGGAATGGTGGATTTCAACGAGATGAACAACGCTTGCATCATGAAGCAGTTGTTGGATGGGTTGAATTATTGTCACAAGAAGAATTTCTTGCATAGGGATATCAAATGTAGCAACATTTTAATGAATAATAGGTGAGTTCGGCGTAGCTGCTGAAGCACTCAAGTGTCATTGTGTTTTTGCAGAGGCGAAGTGAAACTGGCGGATTTCGGTCTGGCCCGCCTTTACAACGCTGAAGATAGACAGAGGCCTTACACGAACAAAGTAATCACGTTGTGGTATAGACCCCCAGAACTGCTCCTGGGTGAGGAAAGATACGGTCCGGCAATCGACGTCTGGAGCTGCGGCTGTATTTTAGGTGAACTGTTTCTGAAGAAACCGTTATTCCAGGTACTTCTTCGTTATTTTCCGCTTATATACAGGTGTATTGTTTTTTGGTTGCGTAGGCAAACGCTGAGATGATGCAGCTAGAAATGATCTCGAGGGTTTGTGGTACTCCAACACCGGCAGTTTGGCCGTCGGTCATCAAACTGCCCCTTTTTCACACCCTCAAGCCTAAAAAGCTCCATCGGAGGCGTTTGCGTGAAGATTTCATGTTTATGCCAACATCCGCACTGGATTTGCTGGATAAAATGTTGGATTTGGATCCAGAAAAGAGGATTTCGGCGGAGGATGCGCTCAAGTCGCCGTGGTTGAAAAATATTAACCCGGAACAGTAAGTAGCGTCGTAGTTTTTATTATTATCACCACTACTTAGTATTATTATTATTACTTATTCTTACTGCTACCATGTATGACTATTGACTATGGTTTTGTCGTGCTATTTATGTCCAATAAAACTACCCTTTCCAACCCAAAATTACAAAATGTAAGGTAGGTTTATAACGATATGCTGCGACCATGCGCTACATAAACGTAGGGCAAATTTTATATTTATTTGTGTATCTAATCAATAAAGTGTTTATCAGTTCCTTATTTATTGAGCTGTATTATGTTTCGGGCGAAATTAAATCAAGTCGACCAATGAGAGAGGTTATCTTTAAGTATCCCCTCTCTTTTTCCAAAAAAATTTTCAATATTTTGTAGTGTAACTTTGTTATGTAGTTGTCGTGACTGGAATTTTTATTTATAGTGACTTAAGTAGGGTTCGTGGATTCGGGCTTGCGTGGGTAAACGGCTCACTTTCGGTTTTCTTTCAGGATTTGCGCGCCCGAGCTGCCGACGTGGCAGGACTGCCACGAGTTGTGGAGTAAAAAGAGGAAGCGGCAAATGCGGGAGCAGCAGGAGTCCATGCAGAATTTGCCGCCCGGTAAGCCGTTGGTGATGGGGCGAGATAAGAAACCCGACGATACGTCAGAAGTAGGGGGGTGAGTGGATGATCTAAGTGGTACTGTGTTTCCTCGTACTGAGTTGTTAGTACTTGACACGAATTGAACGTACAAGTGTTGGACTTGCTAGCAACTCGGACTTGCATTGTGCATCTTGGACTGAGAATCTTAGATGAATTTATTTGAATTTAGTCATTTTATGTTCTGGATGTTTATTATAAATTATTTCCTGTAAGGGTTTTGTACGATATTTTACATAGAGTATATTTCTATCTATCTGACCCTTCCTTTTGTGTTGCCAAAAATCTACTCCTTTCTCCCCTCCTTATTAATTTATTTTATGTGATAATCGTTTTAAATATCATCAATTACAATTTGGTGCTACGGACTATCGACTTGATTTTTGGGCAATGCAAACTCTCGCAGTTATGTCTAGGTAACAAGTAAATTTTTATGTTAATATGTTGTGTAGACGATTTGCTGTACATTAGTTATTTGGTTGCCTTTTAAAGTGCCTTCGTCTATGGTATCACTATCGAAATATGTAAATTTCGTAAGACATACGAAATCAAATTAATTCCTGTACATATAATTTAAGCTCTAATAGTTAGCAAAACCAATTTGTTAATTGATTACCTATATTTGTACATATGTTTTATTTTTATTTCATTTAAAAATAAACGGGATTAATTTATTTTTTGGTTTTTATTTTACCCAGCATGCCGGTAGTAACCCCTTGCATGCCACTAACCCGCCAACCCTCCATTACTTTTCTGCTTCCAGTTCCTCCAAAGTGCTGAAAATGGAAGCGTACGACGCCGCCGTCCTGTCGTACGCCCTGGCGACGGCCGCCACCAAAATCAAACCCGGCTTACTGGGAATCGCCCCCATGTTACCCCCCAGAATCCCAGACGGAGAGTCGCTCACACCCCCCGCGCGACACGACAATATCCCAGAAACGGACGAAAACCGCGGTTACCTTTACCAGCTGCTGTGCACCGTCGAGCAACAAATTATCAATAAAACGGGCGTCCAGCTGCCCCAGCTCATGGAGATTTGCTCCACGAAGCAGTCACAGGTTGGGGCCCCCGACGATATAACTCCACTTAACCCCTGTTTTGTAGGTGGACCAGCAGACCATCGCGCATCTGGAAACCCTCCAGAATGAGCTACGCCAAATCTGCAAAGCCAATCCTAACTCGACGCATTTGTTGCAACTCAATGTTGACGAAGACGATAGTCCTGGAGTGTCCTTAAAAACCGAAACTGTATGCAAGAGCTTGGTTGAGTTGTTGAAACAGTTTGGGCTAGTCTTAGGCGCGAACGTTTTGAAGAAGGTTTTAGTCAACTAATTATGTGAGCCTTAATTTTGTATAAATTTTATATTTTGCGAGGTTTGTTTGGTTGTTTATTTTTATGTACACTTGTGGCAAAGATACTACATATTTTAGCAAATACTGTCAGATTGTACATTTATCAATAAGTAAAGACAAATATTACCTGGGGTTTCCTTCCAACACCTCACAGTCTCACCTTGGTGTCAAGTCTAACTGGGGGCTGCGACCACATAACCTCAATCTTTCGTACGCAATAAAATACATAAAACGGAATTAGTAAAATGCAATATTTGCTTTCATAACGAATGAAAATATCTTTAATGTGTCGTAGCACGAAAATACTGGTAATTCAAATTTTAATTTAACATGAGCTGTGACTAGGGTCACACCACGACTTTTATTTTATAATCGAAAAATCAATATCTAAATTATTCGCGTCGTTAAACGTGAAGCGTTTGCCCCAAATCAAGCAAAACCGGCACTCATACTGATCCAAAATCAAAAAACGTCCAAAAAGTTCAGCGGAAGTGGCTACGAGCACACCAGAAACCCAGAAACCAACCTAACCTCACTTTTGCGAGTGTTTTACCATCACAATCAAGCTCAACAATGAATAATTTAGAAATTCCTGCAGAAACCACCCCCGAATTTACCTCAACAAGCGAAACAAGCCTTCTGGTGGTTATTGTGGACAGCAACCCCAGTCAGAAAATGCTCAGGGACAACCCCCACGTTTTAACTCACTGCGTGGATTCAGTGATAGCCTTCGCCAATTCCCATTTAATGCAAAAAGCCCAAAACAAACTAGCGGTGATGGCTTGCCACTCAAAAACTAGGTGAGACTTTTGAGAAAAATATTTTCTCTATAGTGAAAATTTCAGTGAATTTATATATCCCGGCCCCAACAAACCCCTAGACGTGCGACAAATAGACGGCCAGTATGAAGTTTTCACGGCAGTCGAAAAAACTATTAAACATAATTTGGCGAAGCTGTTAGCCAATGAAAAGTCTACACTTGTCACAGAGTCATTGCTAGCCGGAGCTATTGCTATGGCTTTGTGTTATATCGCACGCATACAAAGGACAAAGCCCCCGGGCTGCAGGGTATGATTTTTTTTTATTTTTTCTCTTTAATAATTGTTGGATTTTCAGTTAAATAGTCGGATTTTGGTGGTGACAGGAAGTGGAGACTCAGCGTCCCAATATATGAATTACATGAACGTTTTTTTCACTGCTCAGAAACAAGGGATTGTTATAGACGTTTGTGCCCTTGATCAACACTTAAGTTTGTTGCAACAAGGCTGTGATATTACAGGAGGGCTATATTTAAAAGTCCCACAATTGCAGGGTTTACTTCAATATCTTCTTGTAAGTTAGAAATTGTGCGGGTTTTTTTTTTGACTAAATTTGCTTTGTAGTGGGTATTTTTACCTGAACCCCCTATCAGACAGAAGCTGGTGCTGCCCCCACCCGTCAAGGTCGACTACAGGGCGGCCTGTTTTTGTCACAGAGAACTTATAGATATAGGTTATGTTTGTTCAGTGTGTTTATCAAGTAAGTAGAATGACCAATCGGGTGTGATTGCGCATGCGCATTTTCATTAATTTCTTTTTTAGTATTTTGCAAATTCAGTCCAATTTGCACAACTTGTCAGTAAGTTTTTTTTTATTGTTGTAGGTAACATTTAATAATTGTTTTTTAGCACTGTTTTCAAAATACCGGGTCCATTGGCTGTAAAGTCGAAAAAGAAGAAAATTAAATTGTAATTACGAGGTAAATATGTGATGAATAACTGCCACAATTAAATAGTGTTTTATTTATTATGAATTTTTTATCCCGTTATCGTCAAGGGTGTTCGATAATGCACCAGTTAATGTTGTTGCATTAATGTAAGGTCAGGAAGGTCTAATATAAATAGATTCTAGGTCACTTCTTGCTCTTTATTTACAATATATCATCGTAGTCATGTTTAGTTTGATATAAAATATATAAGAGCACTTTTAAGTACTACGTAATAAAATATATTGTGTTGAAAAATGTTAATATCACAAAAATACTCATGTGTCTGACGAAGTCAGTATTTACTCAACACGAAATTGCTGAAAAGGCGTCGCCTCATCACAATTAGAAAAATAGTTCTATATAATGCCCTAAGGAACTAAAGAAAAAGAAAAACAAAAATTACAACTAATACTGTAAATATTATAATAATCTTAACGAACTATCAACAAATTATGGCAACTGAAAATATCACTAATTACTCAAACACAGTCGTCACCACGGCCATCACAAAAATCCCTCCTATCAAAGCAACGATTTGCTTGAGCGACTCTTTCGGGTCGTCTTCTTTGAGCAAGTCGGGCAGAACGGTGACAAGCGCAATGTGGAGAAAAGTACCCGCTGTGAAGGGTAGAATCCACGACGTCCTAGCCTCTGCAATCAACAAATCAGTAAAGACATTCTTTCCCCTCGCGGATTTTAATACCTATCGAGTTAGTAGCTCCACTACACATAATGGCCGCGAAGGAGCCAATCAGGCCCCCTCCAGCTGTCAGAATCTGAAAAACGGCGGCATCCCACCGACTGAACCCCGATTTGAGCAAAATGGCGAAGTCGCCGACTTCGTGTGGAATTTCGTGCACCAAAATCGCGAAAGTAGTCAAAAGACCCAGCCGAAGCGACACCAAGAAGGCGCCCCCTAGCGACAATCCGTGCGTAAAATTATCAATAGTGTTGGCCAACAGATTTAAATAACCGGTTATCTGGAAATAAACAATGAGATCGCTTGCGGCTGTTGTTCACACAACCTTACGTGTTTCTTGTTCTCTTCGATATGTTTGAGTGGGTAACCTTTGATGTTGTTGTTTTCGGGAGTAGACAGGTGGCGCTCACCTAATTTTTCTATCACAGTGAAGAATTTCTCGGCTACGACGAAAACCACCAGGCCCGAGAGGATTAAAAGTCCGGTGGTTGTTGTAGGTTGGCCTCCTGCAAGACTTAGTTAGAGGATCGTTTCGCCGGTAATAAACGATCCAATTGGAGCTATTGCGTCATCGCTGGCTAAATTACGTTAGAACAGCCGCCTGATTTATTAGTTCATCCGAGAAGGAAAATGAGTAGGAGGGGACTTTCAAGCGCGAACAAGTGTTTTTGCGTAGTTCCATATCACCAAATCACGAGTTATTTTTTGATTGGTGGAAAGTCGAGTTGTGTTTTGACAACTGTGGCTCCAATTGGTCGTTCGATTTTGACACAACTTCTAATTGGTCGTAGTGTCAAAAAAAGGCGGGGTTTCTATATTTACCGTTATTTGCGACATCGTTGGCCCAAATCTCCGGAAGCGAGTGAAGGAAGACATCTCCTAGTAGACCTCCAACAGCAAAACTCAGCAAAGTCTTCAGCTTGTTGGCACTGTCTGTAAAAATGCATCGAGGTCATGGCCATATCGAGACAACAACAATTAGGATTTTCCGACACGTGTTTATTTTTATCAAACGAATAGAACGTCTGACATGTTTGTCTAAACAGAAATTCGTTCCTCTCGTGAGTGTAAACAAAGATAAATACTCAGTGAATCGATAGTTATCTTTGACAATAACTGCAGTGATTTTTCTTCAATTATCAATCAACTCATCAAATAAAGCCTCAGGGAAGGGCCCAATTTCAACAACAAAGTAACGATTGATAAGTTGATTAATCTAATCTGTACGTGAGGAGATTAGCCTTTTGCGGATCGCAGGTAGTCCGAAGGGTTCTAGAGGGCATTACGCTCTTGCGTAACATATATTTCATTTGAAGACCTGTCTGGGTGTGATAAAAATTCAATTTAACGTTAAATTGAACACAAAGCGATTGACGTCACACACCAGGCAATCGATTCACACTTTCTTCCATTACCTAATTTGGAATTCAGTTGCACAAAGCGTTAAATCGGTGTTGAATTAACCATAACTGCAACATTTTCCTCGATTAGCAAACCATAAACGCTGACATTTGGCCGAAGAATCAAAACAAGAGTCACGAGGAAACACATGGAAGGCTAGAACCTTAGCGAGACCTTGAATATCCAATAATATTTACGCTCGCACAACAAACTGGTGAATTATTTACGATGCAAAAGGCAGGTGATCCGTGAACCAAATTCGATTTAATTTTACGACCGAAGTTGGGGGCATTTCCGGAAAAACCGCAGTCAAAACAGTGACAATTATGTGAAATGTAACGTAGCATTTGCAAGTCATGCTAATTTTTGGCACAGGCTCCCGGCGAATTGTTTTCCTTGAACTGTCGCGGTGTTTGATTTGTTAATTCTATTGCTAGTATTTTCTTTGTTTGGGTTGAACGATTATGCATGAATTTTGTCTACTGAAGTGTGGTAGCCAAAAAGTGACAAAGAAATGGTATGGTGTAATTGTTTCGCCATTAGTAACAATAGTCAGGTTTTGAAACGTGGATTGCGAGTAATTTAATAATAATTATGTGTGAAGATATCGCAGACGTGCATTTTTTATCTAATCGAGTGTGTGGATGCGTTGTTGTAATTTCTATGCGTAATTATTATTAATCTGTGTTTTTTCCAATGACTGTGCACTATTTTTAGGGGCGAATGAGTTACACTGGGGATCAATATCAATATAACTAGTGTAACCACGGGTTAGACAACCTAGAAGTGATTGTACTATAAGCAGATTTTTTTAGCTGGACAACGATGATCTAACAGAAGTATGTTAGAAGCTGTTTACCTACAAGTTAGTGAATGATTCAAGGTGCAAATTCACTCATTTATTATGAATAGAACCTTAACACAAACTATTGCGTCACAGCTAAAACAAATGACCTACGTATAATACAGCAATTATGGTTGAGTTTCACATAAAACGTTGCGATATCTGGACCCCAATCAAGTACTTTCTGCAGTTAAGAAATAATTACATGGCTGCAGGTGCAATATTTTGGATGGGTTTAATTCTGAAGACAATACGATCTTCGTTTAAATCTCTTTCAAAAAACTATCACCATGACCCATCTCAGATTATCACAAAATTTACACTTTGGAAACAGTACCAGGAAGTACAAAACGCGATAGTTCTTTATTGAAAACTGATATTAATTCCAAGTTTTCTATTTTGCTCAAACAAGGTGTAAATTTTCTAGGACAATCTCAGCAAACGTGGAAATTTAAACCCTCCATCCTGAAGCACCATCAGCATTACCCAAGAGTCAAGTACCGATTACTTGTACGTGATCGCACTATCGTTAAAATTTTACCTGTCAAGATATTTTTTGTCATTAATAAATTAGTTACTTGACAAACATCACACCACTGTCAATGTTTTATATAATCGAAAAGAGATAAGCTCGCGGAATACGAAGAAGCAATAGTGAAGTCCATTTTGAGAGAGGAAAAAACCTGCATCATCAAATATAAATAGTATTCGATTCTCGGTTGCTAAAGCGTTTATGAGAAAATTGAATCGAGTATTTCACAAAAGTGCGATAAAACATTAACAGAACAATTTCTTAGCTACCGTATTCACATGTTTTTAAGTCGTGAGTATGTGAAATCATTTATGAGGCACGCCTACGGATTTTACTGATAAAACCACAACCACGAAACTGCGCCCGACGAAAACAATGTTAAAATTGCAAATGATGTGTTCTCATACATATGGAACACATTTTATGCAAAATGATTGAATTCTTAACAACAAAAAAACGTGTTTCCCTTAGGTACCACCAAAAACCTCATTTTTTACGGTAAGTCTGAAAATCCAAAATTTAAATATTTATTTGATATATTTTCTTTTTTTCAGGTATTTGCTTATTGTATCAAGTGGAGCACGGGGAAAAAAGGAATTTACTTTTGAAAATATTCCACAAATTTGACACATTTTTGGAACTTTCTCATCCGGGCGAATGTACCGGCAATTGTTTCACCTATGATTTTTGAATAAAATTTTTGCAACATATGCTTTGACTTGTTTTGTTCCATTGTTTCAACCGACATGATGAATTTATTACGATCCTATCCGATACACCACACCATTTTGACTTTCAAATTGGCGTTGATTATGCTCTCATTATAATATGTTAATGGGTAAAATTAATGATCAAGTCGTTAGAAAATCGACAAGTAACAATGACGGATTCTCCAATTACCGCATACTGACAAATGATTATAACGTGGTATAATCACACTTGTGTCTCCAGCTTCAAATTTTTGACTTATTCCGTATAAAATAAAATGACTTTCCATTTCTTGGCATACATTATCGGTTCAATTCTTGTACTCGTTACGCACTGTTACAAATTGATAAAAATCCGCAGCATATGGCGTAGTTGGGGCCTTAAATTATCGATCACGAACTCAAGGCAGCGCAGCCCGTTTTCAGGTACAAGAGTATAGTCGGTCGGTTATTGATTTTTTTAACTTTAGACCAGTTTATTTTACAGTTAGGAATTAGCTACGTTCAAACGGAGAAATTTTGGCCACAATTCTACGTGTCATAGTTTCGCCAACCACTATGTGTCAAAAATTGAAGTTGTGGCTGTTTTCGATTAAACCCCCTTTGTGATTTATTCTTTGACGAAGTGGCTTAGCAAATCTGCGAGTACATAAATGCCGCTTGACCGGCCAATGATCGAGGCTAAATTACAATGTTTAACTTAAACTGGTTTAAAAACAAAAAGGGCTAATAAGTAGGTCGCAGTTTAAAAAGGCTTTTGAATCATTTTTGCGCACGACGTATGCTTTTAAATAATTTAATTCCCAATGCCAAATACACTACTGAAGAAAAAATGTCTATTAAAATTTTTAACGCAAGTGTAATTTTACCCAGTTTAATGGGGAACTTATGAAGAAGAATTTTATTTACTTATTTTTTTTTTTTATTAATTTGTCATTTATTTATATTTCCAGATATATCAACTGTTTAATTGAAAAACCGATAACAACTGACAATGCAGAAATGTCAGTTATATACAACAGTATGGATTAATAAAGCACATGCGTTTTTCGCTATTTTCTTCTATTAAAAAAGCAACGCTAACTTGACGACTTTTTCAACTAAACAACCGTTACACTTCATGAAAGCTAATACTGTTTAAATAAACAATTATTAAAATAATTTTTAAGGTGCTTCGGTTCCTGTCCAAAACGAATTGAATGTGTTCTCGCACTACATAAGCGTAATTAAAATCGGGTAAATATTTGCCGGACTGGAGTTAAAGTGCTGGATTAGTGAACGCCCGACCTAGATCGGAGTTAAGCTTCTCCGTTACTCTTCATCATGTCAATTTAAGACTCAGTTTTACGAAGGATAATAAGTGTAACAGGCGAAGATCAAAATTGTAGACTACGCTCTGAAATCTATTGTCAAAAATTGGTCCAAAGTAATTTGGGCAGTACTTCGGCCACTCCTGATCTGTAATGAAAGTTCAGTTTCTCGGATAATTATGAAATTTGTTGTGTGAATTTTATTGTATTTTTTATGATAACCACTATACCGGGTGTTTGGAAAATGGCGGATTAACTCTCCGCTACGCTTTTAACAATCAACTGGCGAGTCTGGGAAAAATAGTAAAAAAAATCCTTCTCGCATTTAAGAGGAGTTACAATGATTTTAAAATTGGTTCTTTTGCTACTTTTAACAACTAAACAACACATTCATTATCGCAAGAATTTGTAATAAAATTTTTAGTTAATATTTCTCGCGCGCATGACCATGTTTAATTACCATTTCAGTTAGAATGCACAAAGATATGGATAAGTTGATAAAATTCCATTTAACAACAATGCTTGCCTGATATAAAGCGAATGTACAAATCAGGAAAAATCGAGTAAGCAGTTAAAAATGTTTGACCTATCAAAAATTGTCAAAGTTTTTAAGAACCTACGTTTAAAATGTTCGCAATTAATTTTAGGTCCCTTGGTATTTTATTTTCGCATAAATTTAAAGGAATCTGCTGTTTTGTCGCTGGATGAACTTGAAAAAATCTTTTGAGCTTTCAGTGCTTTACTTTTTACGAATCTGAAAAAGTCTTGTGTGTATTATCTTGGAAGCCCATGGAGATTTTTAAATTAAATTATTTAAAACAATTCTATGTGTGTGTTCTATTTTTGGAAAGTTCTGAGCTGACCTGTTTTTGAGTTAATTTTGAGACCGAGTTTTTTTTTTTTGAAAAATTTAAAACAATTTTGAGGTTGTAGGTTTTCCTCTTTGGAAAGAATTTGAAAGTGCTTTGGAGCCTCTTGTGTCTTTTCTTAGAATCATTTAATTACATTTATTACAGCATACGTCAATCTTATCTTGACAAGTTCTAGCCCTACCCACCTGCCTTCTCTATTCTTAGAGAGTATCTCATTTGCCAAAATCAGTCTTATCTTAGCAGGTACTAGCCCCGCCCACCCACCTTCTCCTTTCTTAGAGGGTATGTCATCTGCCAAAATTGGTGGTATTTTAGCCCCACCCACTTGCCTTCTTTATTCTTTGAGGGTATGTCATTAATTTGCCAAAATCAGTCTTATCTTAGCAGGTACTAGTACCGCCCACCCACCCTCTCTTTTCTTAGAGGGTATGTCATTTGCCAAAATTGGTCGTATTTTAGCAGCCACAAGGCAGGAATTTTGAACATCTCTAGTGTTTAGTTGGTTATGCTTTAATGGATTTTTTTTGTTGGTTTTGTTTTGGTTTATAATTTATAAATGTCTTATTAAATGTTTTTTTTTGGTCTACTTATTAATGAAAAATAACACTTGTTTTATGAATAATAATACACGACGATTAATGACTACTAGTTGTCATGGTTAATTTTAGGTTCCCTGGTGTTTTATTTCCGGATAAATTTAAAGGAATCAAGTGTTTTTTTGCTGGATGAACTTGAAAAAATGAAACTCTTGAGTGCCGCAGTATCTTTTTTTTAATTTGAGAGACTCTTGGGTACCCATGGTGTATTATTTTAGCAACCCATGGAATTTTTTTGTGAATTACATATTTAAAACAATTTTGGGGGACTTTGGTGTTCAACTTTTGGAAAATTCTGACCTGATCTGTTTTTGAGTTAATTTTGGGACCCCGTTTTTTTTTGAAAAATTTAAAACAATCTTGAGGTTCTAGGTATTCCCGTTTGGAAAAAATTTGAAAGTGCTTTGGAGCCTCTAGTGTCTTTTCATATAATAATTTAATTAAATTTCTTACAGGATACGTCATTTGCTAAAAATCATTTTTACCTTAGCAGATACTAGCCCCGCCCACCCGCCCTCTCGTCTCTTAGAGGACATCTTATTTGCCAAAATCAGTCTTATCTTGGCAGCTACAAGCTCCGCCCACCCACTCTCTCTTTTCTTAGATGGAATGTCATTTGCCAAAATCAGTTTTATCTTAACGGGACTAGCCCCGCCCACCCGCCCTTTCTTCTCTAGGAGTATGTCATTGCCAAAATCATTTTTATCTTAGCAAATACTGACGACTAACTTTTACAAAAAATGATCAAAATATATGCACAAGGCAGGAATTTTGAACATATCTAGTGTTTAGTTGGTTATGCTTTAATGGATTTTTTTTTTTTGGTCTACTTATTAATGAAAAATAACACTTGTTTTATGAATATTGAGTAATAATACACGACGATTAATGACTACTAGTTGTCATGGTTAATTTTAGGTTCCCTGGTGTTTTATTTCCGGATAAATTTAAAGGAATCAAGTGTTTTTTTTTGCTGGATGAACTTGAAAAAATGAAACTCTTGAGTGCCGCAGTATCTTTTTTTTAATTGGAGCGACTCTTGGGTACCCATGCTGTATTATTTTAGGAACCCATGGAGAATTTTTTTGGTGAATTACATATTTAAAACAATTTTGGGGGACTTTGGTGTTCAACTTTTGGAAAATTCTAACCTGATCTGTTTTTGAGTTAATTTTAGGACCCCGTTTTTTTTTTAAATTTAAAACAATCTTGAGGTTCTAGGTATTCCCGTTTGGAAAAACTTTGAAAGTGCTTTGGAGCCTCTAGTGTCTTTTCATATAATAATTTAATTAAATTTCTTACATGATACGTCATTTGCTAAAAATCAGTTTTATCTTAGCAGATACTAGCCCCGCCCACCCGCCCTTTCGTCTCTTAGAGAACATCTCATTTGCCAAAATCAGTCTTATCTTGGCAGCTACTAGCCCCGCCCACCCACCCTCTCTTTTCTTAGAAGGTATTTCATTTGCCAAAATCAGTTTTATCTTAGCGGGAACTAGCCCCGCCCACCCGCCCATTCTTCTGTTAGGGGACATCTCATTTGCCAAAATCAGTCTTATCTTGGCAGCTACTAGCCTCGCCCACTCACCCTCTCTTTTCTTTAGGAATATGTCATTGCCAAAATCAGTTTTATCTTAGCAAAGTAGTGATGACTAACTTTTACAAAAAATGATCAAAATATATGCACAAGGCAGGAATTTTGAACATTTTCTCTAGTGTTTCGTTAGTTATACTTTAATGGTTTTGTTTTATTTATTAATGAAAAATAACAGCTTGTTTCATTAATAATCAACTTCTGGTTGTTATGGATATTGTCCTAAAAAAATAAAAGGTGGATTTCAGTCACCATCGCTACTAAAAAATCAGAAAGTAAGCCGGAGGTATTCACGCATTAGGTGCGTGCAGTGTTGCCAATTTTACTTTTATAAAATTACGTTTTTTCATAGAATTTTTTTATAATTTTTTTGGGGATCCCGAAACCCCCCTACATAACGTACTGAAGAGTTAATACGCCTTTTTGCAGACACTCGGTAGATTCAAATACAAAATCAAGTGGATTATTAAACGGGTGAACAAGTTCAAGTAACGATTAAATAAAATATAATTGTGTAGTGTACAAACAAAATACAGAAGTATCATTTCTATGAAACTTACTTCGCAAAATTTTTAAATGACGTCACCAAGTTCTTGGAAGGGACAATGATAAATTCTAATTGTCGATCCATCATAATAAATCACAGCGTATGCACATTTTAGACACAACTTATCTAACAAAATTTTTAAGTGAGTGTTAACTGCCATCCTTTTTTTATATCTCCAACTAAAATTAATAGAGAACTGTGTTTCCAGTTAACCCGATAGTAACAATCTAAAAATAATAATAGAAATATGTATTTTCAGTGGCATGATTTAATAAATCCAAAAAAGTGTAAAATCAAATTTTGGTAGATACCGAGAGATCGAAAAAGAAATTAGTCGAAGTTAGCCATGCACGACAAGCCATTTGTCGTAATTTAAATTTTTTATTAAATGTCAAATTGACAGTTTAAAATTAGAATTATGACACCTACTTTTAAATCACATAAAACTGAATCAAAATCGCCGTTTTCCAATTCTGTCCCACTTCTGAAGTAAGATTCTAAGAAAAAAGCTTTAATTTCGTTTGATAACTGCAAATTACTTTTGTCAACGTGTCGTTTAATAAAAAATTATTTTAAACTAAGACAAACGGCTTTTCGTGCTTGGCCAACTTTAACTAATTTATTTTTCAATCTCTCGCTAAAATTATAATCTAGCACCCAAGAATGCAGAGTAACTATTTTTTTTAATAATGTTTCTGTTGCATTAAAACAAATCTCTCGTACAAAATGCTTTGGGCAGCTTTCTACACTCCTAATTACAATTGAGCTAACCTATGGACAAAGAGTTCACACAACTTTTCTTATAGCATGCGTATGAAACCCAAAATATTCTCGATTAATTAAGTGAAAGTTCCTATACTATACAATTTTTTCCCGGTTTAGTTAATGAACTTAAGTATGTTTGCACAAAACTAGCTTAATTTTTTACTCAACATATTCACATACAACGAAAAATGTGGTCTAATGTATGTTTCTAACGTACTTAGTAATAGTGAATTATTATTAAACTTAATTCAACAAACCGGTTTTTGCGCATTGGTAGCAAACAAATAACAACATCGCCGCTATCGAATGTGTTAAGTGACTTATTAGAATGTCTTTAGTATAGTTTTCTAGTCAACAGGTAGTTATTAACATATCTATTGATAGAACTAAACGCGAGTCCAATCGTGTTACTAAAAGTTTTAGGCAAAATTCGACCCTATGGAAGCTTAACATTATTATTATTGTTTCGGGCTAGAACTCGGATGACATCAGAAGTAACAAAATTAGAAGGCCATAGATCTAAAAAAACCTCTTTAAACAGTGCAAAATCCGCACACAAAAGTTAGACATAGATGTAAACAAATTGTAATAACATAATGTCAACAAACAATAAAAGAACGTTCACCTTGGTTTCCATCGTGTTTATCTCGTGTTATGACTCGAAACTATTTAAAACATGGGAAGTACAAAATTATCTACTAAAGCCTCAATTAACTAAAGCCCCGAAATCAATACAAAGTCCTAATCTCATCTCAATTCCAAAATAATAACCCGAGTGATAAGATTTTTACTGACGGGCAATAAATTGCAACTTCTCTGACCACAAAAGGTTTAAAACAAACACATTCATCAACATCCGCTATATTCTTTCCCACTCATTAAATCACGCGCTCCAGTTGCATTCCAAGAACTGCCCACGACAATCGCCGCAGATAACCCCCAAGGCCTAACAAAGGCCGCTCATCATTTGTTTATTGCGCGCCAATGCCGTTCGAGTCTCTTAACCCAATCAATTACGCAACACGACCTAACCTCCTTGTTTAAGATTGTCCGTCTGGTCAATGGGAATGACGAGAAGAGGCAGCACCCCGCTGAGGCCCACGAGGATGGACCCGATCATGGCCCACAACCAGGGCATGTAGTCTAGAGTCACGACCCATCCTGGGACGAAACCGTCGTAGGTTAGGTTGAGAAGAGCGCCGTTGGACCCGGTCAGGATCTCGAAAATGTTCACAGACGATGCCATAAGTGGACATATACTGGGTTTTTGGGAACGCACTGCACTGCTTTTGTCGACTAACCTACTCTGAGATTGAGCCGAACAAAATACTCGATTTTTTGAATGTACTGATAAGCGGATTGTTACACTGGCGACATTGTTTCCACTTTTACTACATTCTCGACGAGTGCGAGTTTATTTACTGGACGACGGAGGAGTCCCCTCCATGGCTGCGCTGTAGCACGGAGTCGATGGGTTTTCCACCACGGTTGGAATCGGGGTTTTTGTGCGATGCGCACAAAGACGGGGGAGTGTTGGGACGGCTCTTGGAAAGGGGGCGAAATTCGTTATTTTTCGAGATTCTTCTGAAATAAATAGGTGTTTCATTTGGGTTGTTGTAGTCGCTTGCTAGTGGAAGTACTTTGGTCGTTTCCAATGATGCGGTTGGCAAGTCATCAACAGCGTCTGATTCTTCGAATTTGTTCAGCGAATGAGCTTAATATCACGTTGTTTTCTATTAATTAGTCTTGCGGATTCAAAAGTAATCACGTTCTGAATACTGAGTAATGAGTGACAACAACTGCGTAGAGTACCCGTCAAAGCGAAACATGGCATCACGTGGTCTGGACCGTTGTGGCGTCGAGGTCATTTTTGAATTCGAAGGGGAGGTAATATAATTAAAAATGATTTAAAGTAAAATTAATAATTCTTTAATCTAAAAAAGGTCACTATATGATTTTTTACACTTACAATTTCTTCTAAAAGTGGAATCGAAATATGCCTATATCACTTTGGCTACGCCACTGGTAATTCGAGAAGGCGCATCTTAGGCTCCGCCCATGTCATGTTTTGTTCTGACGGGAGCTTTAGACAATGGTACCGATACTGGTACTGTCGTATTTAAAATAAATGACTTGCTTTGTCACTGATTAATTGAAATATAATAATAGAAATATTTAATTAATTGCAATTGGTTCAGGGTATTGAAGTATTTATTTTCAAGGCTGCAGCCTATTTCCTTGTATTTGTAAAAAAATTGAAAATTATGCCACATAAATTCGCTTTATAAAAGTTTTATAAAAGGTGTTTTACTTTTGCGTTTCACTCAGAAAGCAGTCTTTGTCAAGACTACGTTATGTTATTATTACTATACAACCAACAAGTTGCAACAAAACTAAAAAAAAATTAAGACAATGCTGGTTCTGACAAAGTTTTTAAAGATTAATTTGCTCGTGAACTTGATAAGACGCGTTATCTATAAGGTGTACAGAAGTTGGTACTTTTGCAAATGACGAATTACACGATAAAGTGAGTACAGATTTAAAAACTGGCCTAAAGTTGTTTAGGCAGAATCTGCCAACCGACTCTCCGGTCTAAAAATTTGCTTTGGAACTAGAAAACTTCAAAGAATGAGGGTTCTTGTGTCATTTTGAAGTTATGTAGCTTTTTGACTTACAAATGACCTCAACCATTCCAGAATCCGGTGTGGAAATTTGGTTATAAAACTGGAAAAATTCAAAGAATCAAATGCTTTAAACCGCAATGCAAATCCTCGTTCGATTTTGGATTTACGTCTTGTTAAATTTGAAAAAAAAAACCGGTGATTTTTACCTAAAAAATAAAACCATTACTTAAGAACATATTTCACATGGTCATTTCTCGTAGAAAAATTAAGATTTTACAATTAAGCTCCGCCCCTCTACTTACGACGAATAAAAAAATCATCAGATCTGAGACAGGGCGGGTGGGCGGGGCTTATATTTTGCTCTTTGTTTCTTAATATACATAGCCATCTTTTGATAACAAGAATCTTAAAAGATGGTTAAAACGGTACATTTTTGCAAGGAAATATGGGTTTTGCAATCATGGGGCCAAGCCTATTTGCAAAATCGATATTTCCTTACACAAATTTTCCATTTTAAACATGTTTTAAGTTTTATGTTGTGAAAAGAAGTCTACACATATTAAAACAAAAAGGCAAAATAGAAGCCCACCCGCCCATGTATCAGTTGTGATGATTTTTTTCATTCGTCGTGAACCAAGGAGACTCAGCTTAACTGCAAAATATTTATTTGTTTACAACAAATTAAAAACATGTTTTTGAGCATCGTGTTGTTCAAAGAATACTATGTATACTTAAGAAAAAGGCAAAATATATACAGCGCCTACCCACCCCATCTCAATTGTGTGATTTTTTTTATTTTTAGAAACTTAAAACACGTTTAAAATGGTAATTTTTTGTAAGGAAATATGGATTTTGCAACAAGGCTCCGCCCCTAGATCTGCCAACGACTGAAAACTTCATTACTATTTAGATCAGGGCAGTTATGGGTGGGGCTTAATCTTTGGCTTTAATTTTTTGTTAATATATATAGTATTATTTGAATAACACGGTACTCAGAAACATGTATTACATGGTAATTTCTTGTAGAGAAATACCTAATAGGAATTTTACAATTAAATTTCGCTCCTTTGACTGTCGACGATTAAAAAAATCATCACAATTGAGATAGGGCGGGTGGGCGGGTGGGCGGGGCTTACATTTTGACTTTTTTCTTAATACACGTAATCGTCTTTTCAGAACAAGGAACTTAAAACATGTTTGAAATGGTAAATTCTTGTAGACAAATATGGATCTTGCAATTAAGCCTCGCCTCTCGATTTGACAACGAATGAAAAATTCATCACAATTGCGAATTGAGGGCAGGGCGGGTATGGGTGAGACCTAATCGTTGACTTTATTTTTTTCGTAATATACATACATAGTATTCTTTGAACAACACGATACTCAAAAACATGTTCTTAATTTCTCATAGAGAAATAAGGATTTTGCAGTTAAGCTCCGCCCCCTTGGCTCACGACGAATAAAAAAAAATCATCACAATTGAGATCGGGTGGGTGGGCGGGGCTCCATTTTGCCTTTTTTTCTTAATATGTGTAGACTTATTAAGCTTCTTCATGTTCTAAGTTCTTGAAAACAGCTCAATCAACCAAAAAAAATGTGACAGAAATATCATAAAAAACACAATTGTCTTCTGTTTTTTTTTTGTGTTGACAGTCACGGAATCACTTGAAAATCCTTACATCGTGTTACATATTTTAGTAGTACAATTTATTTACGAGTAAACAGTGCATTCCAACTTAATTGTGAAATTAATACTTGTCTAAATCCATTTCATACTTTTTACTTATGTAGAAGATAGTGTCGTTAGATATTGTAAGTAGAAAAGATGATTTCCAGGTCATCTTACCAAACAGCGAATATTCTTTGAACAACACGATACTCAAAAACATGTTTTTAATTTCTCGTAGACAAATAAGGTTTTTGCAGTTAAACTCCGCCCTCTTGGCTCACGCCGAATAAAAAAAATCTTCACAATTGAGATAGGGCGGGTGGGCGGGGCTTCATTTTGCCTTTTTTTTCTTAGTATGTGTAGACTTATTTCGACAACAAGAAACTCTCCATTTTTCTTCTACAACCCCTTTATAAATGACAATTCTCAGCTCCAAAAGCAACTGCAACGGTAAGTTTGTAAATCCCACTGCTAACGTCATCAAAAAGAGGTGTTCATGGAGTAGGTCCAAATCTAACAAAATCTACGATGAATTTTGTGCAGAGTACATAATTTTGGAAATTTTACGACCGAGGCACCACTTGGAAGCCGCCAGCACTTCTTCCCAAGAAGCTATTTGAGTATCCATTCGGGAAATTTGGTTATAGAAGTCAAAGAATTAAGTACTTTAAACCGCAATGAAAATACTCGTTCGATGGTTTTGAAGTTACGTTTTGTTAAATTTGAAAAAAAAGGCTGATTTTTAACTCAAAAATGAAACCCTCCTATAATCGTCTCACCAGATTAAACGGATCTAGCATCCAGTCCGAAAATTTGCTTGTAGAGCTAGAAAGTTAAAGGGAATCAAATGCTTCGAACCGCAGTGTAAATTTTTGTGCCGTTTTGAAGCTATCCCTTGTTAAATTTGAAAAAAGGCCGGTTTTAACTCAAAAATGACACCTTGCTATATATTTGTCGCTCCAAACTAAACAGATCGAGTATCCGGTGTGGAAATTGGGTTATAGAACTAGAAAACTTCAAACAATCAAATGCTTTAAACCGCAATGCAAATCCTCGTTTGGTTTTGGAGTTGTCTTGTTAAATTTGAAAAAAAGGCTATTCCTCGTTAAATTTGCAGAAAAGCCCGTTTTTAACTCAAAAATGACACCTTCCTAAATATTTGTCTCTCCAAACTAAATGGATCGAGTATCCGGTCTGAAAAATTACTTACAGAACTAGAAAGCTTCAAGGAATCAAATGCTTGAAACCGCAATGAGGATTTTTGTGTTGTTTTGGAGTTATGTCTCGTTAAATTTGAAAATAGGCTGTTTTTTAACTGACAAATGACACCTTCCGAAATATAATCGTCTCTCCAAATTTAACGGATCGAGTATCCAGTCTGGAAATTTGTTTGTAGAACTAGAAAACTTCAAGGAATTAAATGTTTTGGAAAAATATTCTTCCTCAAATCTCCACCACCAATATTACCCTCCTTGATTCACTAGTGACGTCATTCATTATATTCGATTAAAATATTGTGCTTTTAATAAATACAAAAAGAGTAGATCTTCACAATCTTATGACTCATTCAAACGTCTTCGTTCCAAGTCTAAAGCACTTATTAATATTGCGTACAAAAAATACTTATCCGACTTAGAACAATCCATTTCTGTTGATTCCAAAAAGTTCTGGAGCTTTATTCAAAGCAAAAAGGAAACATCTAGAATTCCAGGCCTTATGATCTATAAAGGTAATGAGTTAACTGATCCATCTGAAATTGTTGACGCTTTTGTGTCTGCAAAACTTCGATAGCGTGTTTATTGTTTCTAAACTTATGGAATACTCTCAGTTAATTTTTAACATTAGGTTGTCTGCTTTAAATATATCGCGGAGGTGTTATTTACGCCACATTTTTTAAAGAAGCGTAATCTCCGAAACTGCTGGACCGATCGTTGTCAAATTTTGCACATGAATTTTGACGACGTCATCTCCAAAATTTAGAATTAAAAGTTTTTTTAATTTGATAAAATAAGACACTGTTGTACTTGTGGTGTGTGAATCCGTGTCGAATTTTCACCCTAGACATCCAGAATAAAAAAAAAAAATTAAACTGAATAGAATAATTTTAATATAACTTTCTTTACCCCCTCTCTATTTTCTCAGAGGGCAATTTGCCAAAATCAGTTTTATCTTAACAAGTACTAGCCCCGCCCACCCACCCTCTCTTTTCTTAGAGAATATGTGATTTGCCAAAATCAGTCTTATCTTACCACGTATTAGCGCCACCCACCCACCCTCTTTTTTCTTAGAGAATATGTGATTTGCCAAAATCAGTCTTATCTTACCAAGTACTAGCCCCACCCACCCTCTCTTTTCTTAGAGAATATGTGATTTGCCAAAATCAGTCTTATCTTACCGCGCCAAATTACTGTTGAAGATGTTCTGATAAATTTGAAAAAGTCCAAGGATCGTTTCACAATGGGTAATGGTCCTTTTTCTTACTTATTAAAGGTTGTGCGCAGATTCTTGCTGAGCCACTTTGTATTATATTTAATTTAATAATAAAGAAATCCGTCTTTCCTTCACTTTGAAAGAAGGGATATATTTGTCCCACTCTTAAGAAAGGACACTAGATTCAGGTGACAAATTATAGAGGTATTTTGATACATGTATTTTTCCAATATATATATCGGAAGTAATTGATGGTAATGGACAATGTGATGTCATATAGGTATACTGATTTCGAAAAGGCTTTCGATAAAATATATTAATTTTCTTGTACCACGACTAAACACTCGTCAATATATTGTTTTTTATATTAACCTTGCTAGAACTAATGCTCTAGATAAATCTCCCATGAATTTAATGGGCGGTTTATTTAATTGTATTTCTAATAACTCTGATATTCATAAAGATTCATTAATTTTGATCTCTGCCAAGTTGCCAAACATTGAGGAATGGCACTTTTTATCCATTCGTCTCTCTTTTTTCAAAAAACTGCATCACAAATATGGAAGCATATATTTTATAAGTTTTGAATAAGATGTACTTACTTGAGATGACGTCATCAAAATTCTCATGGGAATGATTAGACAAATTTTGGTTTTATATTTTACCACGTACACAATACTCTTAAAAAACATAAAAAATTCCGAAAACAATTTTTTTCATATTCTTGGAGCTATGAATCGCCGAGAAAAGATAAAACTAGCCTTTGTGTTGATGATCAGTCATGTTACAATATTTTCTAGCTTACACTCAAGAAATAGAGTTGGGAAAATTGGCGGGCCGTTTGGAAAAGGACAAATTTTCGGTTCAATTTCAAAAGAACGTGATATTTGTCTCTTAACGTCAATCAAGATAATAAATTTGAATGCGGTCCTGTCTGCTCAGACAAGGGTTTGCAGAGTAGACCCTTTTACTATCTAGCAGGTAGATGGCCAAGCTATTTTTAACAAAAGTACAAACAGTTCGTTAAAAATATTCTTTCGCCCTCAGTTCTAGAAATTTTACAAGAACAGTGATATTTACTTCGATTTGAGCTTTTTCTTTCCCTGTCTAAACGTATATTGTTGTTAATTTATTTGTTTTGCTCTTAGTATTACACTCATTATCTCATTTTAGGAAAAACCAGCCACCAAAATTATTTTATTACTGTACTTTTCTTAACGAAGAAAAAAGAGATGTTTCGTCATGAATCAACATTTACACTTACATATCTATGTGTTTTCAGTTATTAGTTTAAGAATTATAACACGTTAACAATTCACTTATTCATCCCTTCCAGAAAATTAATGACGTCATCTCAAAAATTTGTAAAGTACAAAAAATAAAAAAACTAATCTATAATTTCCTTAAATTCTAGAAACACAGTAACCTTACATGTTGCATGTTTAATGTTACATCTGCTACGTGCCAAAATTGAGGTATTTATTCCACCAAAATATGACAACGTTATTCCCAAGATTTATTTAACAAACCAGTATTTTTAGAACTAAATGATTACTATCCACATCTTAATGAAAACGCATTCTGTGTTAAATTGTTATATATTTTTTTAAATCCTGCAGAGATGACTATTTATCCAATTTAATGATAGATTAGAGTTAATGTGTGGGATAATGTATCTTATACTAATCGACACATCTATTAAACAGATGTTCGGTGATAACTAATTCACCAAAAGATCTACATGAGAAATCTCAAAAGCAAAAACATGTTATTTAAAACACAAAACTAAAACGTACTGCATTTAAATTTTCAACTAGTCTAAACTTACTTTAATTGCAACAATTACACGAAATTATCTAACTGCAATCAGAAACGCGATAACTCCGTTGAACTGTTACCAAGCACAATCGCTGTTTTTGCATGCACATTTATTTATAACTTTCAGAACGCAGTCAGACAGATAGAGACCCGAAATCTTCATTTATCGTTTCAAAATTACCAACGGTGAATAAATAATTTCATTGAGTGGACACTTCCGCGCTTTTAAGAAAGGAAGTTCTCCTAAATTTTATGGTGTCGGTTTTTGGTCAGCTTGATTTAGTGCACAAATTGGCTGCAATAAACCAGTCATTTGGCAAAAATATGTCTTCAAAAAGCGGTCGGTTTTATGTCTTTGGGGTGTTTGTGACCATGGAGCGTATACAGATGAAGTCAGCCGTGACTTGTTTCCTTTTGTAATGGGAAAACAGTAAATACTAAAATTGTGTAACATACGTGGAAGTAATTACGTTTTAAAAACCCCTTAGTTTGTTGATTGAATGCATGTTTTGGAATGCACATGTTCATTGTTTAGCAGGACGTTTTCACGGATTTGGCGGTGGTGGAATGAACCATATTTCAACCGCCGCACTTGCGCATGTCACAAACCAGTGCGCACTTAACCATATATAAATATCATATATAACTGTTATTACTTATCAGTTAATATTTTGACTTTTTTGCACGTTTTGTTTGCTATTTAGATGCTTCTAGGATGTAAACACGCGAAAATGTGTGTTTATAATTTGTTAAAAACAGAATTTCCCAGAATTCAGTGTTCCTTATTATTACTTAGCCAATAGGAAAAACCTGCAAAACAATAGAATATATATAATTTGTCTTTGGATTAAAAAACTACACAACTTTATGAACGAATTGTCAACTAATTGCTAAACTGTCGGTTCAACTCTGGTCAATGAAGAATACTTTGTGGTCTGTGCCAAGTGTGACTCAACTATTACTAAAAGCGCAAAACCGCGAACAATAGAAAAATGCTCATTCAGTTATATCCGTCGTCCAACTTATGCAACCAACTTTACACCACCGAACAATGACTCCCAAACCCATTATTTTTTAAATGTTTCGCTAAAACCTCCTCGTCACCGGAAATATTTAACACACCACAATCAGTACCAAATTCTTACAAAACAAATCCCTTTTTAGAATCGAGCACCCCAATCTATTTAAAACCCATGCAGTTGATTGCGTTTTATTCCTATAATTAATGGGGCGATTATATTTATCAAACATCTATGTCGCCACCATAAATCTATTCTAATCTCACACAATGCCAATAGAATTCAAGTCTCGACAACAAATGTTTTGAAAAAATTTTGGAACCATTACAAAAACACAAAAGGGTCAGCGATCAACTAAAATGTCACTAAAATGGTTTCTCCCATCAAGGCTCAACGAAGCATAAATTCCCCCTGAAAAAATGCTCCACCGAACTACAATGAGTTAAAAATAATTTTATATCTTCAGCGTCTAGTCAAACTTCACTCGCGCTTGCTTAAGGAACGTTAATCAAGCACTCATAACAGCATCGGGCTGTTGGTATTTGTTGTGGCAGTTGGTCTTTGGCAAAGCTCGGACAAGCTTGTTTGAAGTGATTTTTCTGCGATACATTGTTGTGGATTTATAAGAAGGTAGGTCTCCTATTTATTATTTTGCTCCGCTTATTGTATTTTTGTTTTCTTATTTTGACGCAATTTTTTTTAGTTTAGATAACTTACATAGATAATAATTTCGTGCCTGCCTCTCATCTAAATTTATTTACAAATCAACTTTATGTACGTGCAATTACCATTAAACTATAAATAGGAAGAGCCGGATTGGTGGGAAGACGTCGAGGAACTAGAGTTTGCACAAAGTGCCTCATTCAGTAAAATTGTCTTAAACGCTTTTCTAGCGCCTATTTTTCGTCTCTTTTCCACGAATCTCGCCACTTGTCTTAATTTATCCACGTCTAAATTAGTTGCGCTCCGTTAATAACAATCGGCTAATTAGTAACTTTTTCACAAAGACACATTTTGGTGCCAGTGAATATTCGTATTTGTTAAGATATTCAGTGCTGGCAAACCCGGGTGGAGCATACTATTTTCGTTCATTAAATTTTATCATACTGACAATTACACACCAACGTGTTACTTTCAGTTCAGACGGAGCCGAAGTGACTTAAGTCACTTTAAAGCTCTACTCACCAATGGATGCCTGGGGAAACTTAGATATTACAGCTGCCGTAGTCAGGGATGACCTAAATAGCAGCTTCCGAAGGTCAAAAAGAATCGTAAGTATCTCCTCATGAGCACAGACGTACTTAAATCGCGACTTAAGTAATTAAGAAATTCCCGCCGAAATTCTGTTTAAAAACACAAACGCAACCGCGAGGTATGTCGGTTTTGAGTTATTTTAAGAATGTGTCTAGATCCTTAGACATGGTGGAACGTTACGTAAACAGAATGTGCACGTAATTAAGTGTATTTTTTGTAAAATCGGTTTGAAAAATGGATGTAAGTCCTGATGTTTGGGGCCAGTTGGCCTTGGAAGCTTCACAAGTGTATTTAACTGATGGTACGGCGGCTAAGAGCCCGTTCGCCGGAACGGTAGGACCAACATTGCAATTTTACGACTTGTTACAAACCCCTCACGGTAAATTTTATTCCAGACTATTGAAAAGCTCCCCGATAAGGTGCTTCTTCACATCTTCAGCTACTTAAGCCACAAGGAAATATGTCGTATGGCTAAAGTGTGCAAGAAGTGGCGCATGATCGCCTATGATACCAAGCTCTGGAAAAACGTGTCCTTAAGACCTGAGATTTCGGGTCTACATGTGGGGTCATTAGAGTCTCTCCTAGCTTTGATAAGCATAAGATTTGGTCCCTCGCTTAGATACATAGAGCTTCCCATTGAGCTTATCACCCATACTGTTTTACACGAACTGGCCAACAAGTGTCCAAACTTGACCCACATGTTGCTCGACTTTTCCACTGCTATGCAGCTGCATGACTTTAGCGAGCTTCAGGCTTTCCCCACCAAGCTCAGATATCTTTGCATTTGCTTATCAGAAGTCATCTTTATGGAAGGGTTTATGAGAAAAATTTACAACTTTATTAATGGCTTGGAGATTTTGCACTTGATTGGAACATACGAGAAGATTGAGGAAGAGGAAGAAGAAATCTATGAGGTTATCAACGTCCATAAACTCAAATCAGCCACTCCAAATTTGAGGGTTATTAATCTGTACGGGATTAACTTCGTGGACGACAGCCACATTGACGCTTTCAGTTCCAACTGTATTCAGGTAAGTCGATTCTGGTTACTACCACGAATTACAACTGCGTGTTTAGTTGGAGTGTTTGGCGGTCAACTATTGTGCCAAAGTGACGGGGTCCACCCTCAAAACCTTGTTCCAAAGAAGCAGAAGATTGAAGTGTCTCCTCATGAATGGAACAAGTAAGTTTTTATTGTCTTTCTTCGTTTTTGACTTCAAGATTTCTAGATTTACAAAGCGACTATCTCACGCAAGTGGAATGGGAGAAGTGTTCCTTACAAGAACTAGATATTACGGCCACGGATCTATCAACTGAGGCTTTGCAAGATATGCTTTCGCGTCTTCCTGGGCTTCGATTTTTAAGTGCAGGCCAGCTTAACGGCTTTAATGATACCGTTCTGAAGACATGGGTGGAATCTGGAATGGCCCGAAATTTAGTAAATTTTTCGTGTCATTATTTTTGCTTTGTACTAATGTAGGGTTTAGGTGGCTCTAGATTTGGACAGTTCTGACAACTTGAGTGAAGATGCTATCTATAAGTTCTTGTGTAAGCATGGACACCAGTTGTGGGGCTTAGGTTTGTCTGGAATGACCCATATTACTGATTCCTTGTGGCAGTCGGTACTACCCATACTCACGAACGCCAAGTAAGTACTTTTGTGGTTGTTCCATTTTTTGAATGTCTGTTGTTCCAGGATTTTGATCATGGGTACCCAGGAGCGTCTAGGTGTTAATATCCTCGTTGATCAGTTGATGGATAGTATTGCTAGGAATTGTTTGGCCGTTGAAAGATTAGAGTTGAGGTGGGATCCCGATAATCTTCGTTTTTCTGATAAGAGCCAGAAGGCTATTGACACTCTGAGAGTGAAGTGTTTGAAACTCAAGTGTTTAAGCTTGAGGTGGGTTCTTCGTGTTTGTTTCTTTGTACTAATACGTATTTTGTAGTGATGGTCGTTACTATGAGATTACCAAAGCCAATTTCGAGCGTGCCGACCGCATGACCGTGGTCAGGACATTGACCAACTGTCGGGTCTCTAATTACTATCTTCTTTCCAACTACAAGGACTTGGTATTCAATTAAATGAAACGTGCCAACGTAACTTAAAATAATTTTTATTGTTCTATAATAAATTATATAACAGTATAGCTCAGGAGTGCCTCAGTGACTTAAGTGTTTTATAAAATTTAATAATAGAAAAAATAACAAAGAAAATTGAATTCGATAAGGAAAGTTGACTTTATAACACCTATCTGCTCTGTACAATAGATATATACATAAAAATTTTTGCACATAATATACATAAGTACCATTTCAACAATAAAGAATCAAAAGAAATCGATCGGTTTTCGTCATAAACATGGGTTCAATAATCTAAGTATGACACCGGTACGCAACCCACATCAAAAATCACAGGAACCATCATGACGCGACTTTCGAAACCCCCAAAACTCAACCTTCCTTAAATGTGGATCGAATCTCAGCGTCTGACCAAACCCAATAACTAGGACTCGTCAAAGTCATCATAATATTAAAATACTATATTTAACGTATTCAGTACATACACTCCTCAAATCTCCGCGATACACTTAAAAATCCTATTATATCGCTAAAATTATCACCTGTCGTAATTATTTTCCTCCTCCTGGTCGGTGGGCCTCGGCTGATTGCTTTGCTTCCTCTCCTCGCAGTCCATCCCGTGGAGGATCTCATGGCACAGAGGACACCTGTCCTGCACGTACAGCCACTTCCTCAGACACACCCCGTGGAAGAAGTGTTTGCACCTGGTGATCTTCGCCGAGCGCATTTCTTGGTAGCAAATGGCGCAGACGTCGTCCAGACGCCTTAATTGCTCTTCCTCCGCCTCTGGCAGACTCTCGATCTTATTAACAGCGGTCCTCCGTTTCATAAAAACGGACCAACCGGCTTTGGCGTCGCACCAGATGTTAAAGTAGGCGTGGATGCACATCATGACAGCCCTAATGGCGCTGCCGCTCTCGAACAACAAAATCCAGGCACCGTTGAAGAACAGGAAGATGCCAAAGCAGAACTCGACGGTGTTGCCGAAAGCCCGGATGTAGTAGATGTAGTCGTCGAGCTTCTCCCAGAAGGTCTCCCTTCGGGCATCGAGAAGGAAGAGGGAGTAGATAGCCAGAGAAACGAAAACTTTCACGATGACTTCTATGCTGAAGGCGGACACGGCCAGAAGCCACGTGGAGGTGTCTTGCGTGGACCACAGGTAGTACATGAGAAGGAGAGGAAGCACCACCAGGACCAGACAGACTAGAAGAGCGTGTAGATGCCGCCTCAGCGACGGATTGTGCGATGCACTGAGACTCATTAGGAGAGGGTTCACCACGTTGTGAACGAAATGTAAAATTGCTGTGAACAACAAACAGAAATTTCTGCAAAGTCGGACGAAGCGAATTTCGGGCTCCAAGCCGGTCAGGCCGGTTTGTAAGGCGAGGATGTAGAAAACGATGGCCGAGACCGTGCCGAAATTCTTGTCGTTCTCGTCGTCGCTGAGGAGTAACCATTGGAAAAACTTGCCTATGTAGTTACACACGTACGAGACTATGCTCGTGATCCCAAGAACCGCAGTCAGAGTATCACAACCTGTGACTAGAAGGTACTTCAACAATCGGAAGGAGGGGGTGACGTCGTCGTCCAACTCCCAGTACCCTGAAGCGAAGAAGATACCCATGTGTTCCAAAACTCGGAGCAGCCAAAAGGTGCGCAGGACTTCGGGTACGTTCAGTCTAGTCCATTCGGTCTCCACCAAAGCCGACATACCGAAGTTAGAAACGAAAGTCCTAGCGTAGCTGTACCCTTTGTATAGGGTTTGTATTATGGGTACTACGGACGACCAAAGGACGAACTTAACCAGTGCGAGAGGGAGGAGGGCCGAAAACACCGGCATGTGGTTTAAAAGCCACGAAGGCACAGGCAATACCGTCATCATGGAAGGTGCAAGGAATGCCAAAGGTAACAGTTTCTGGAGAGTGGAATATCGAGGTCCCAGATGGATGTTCACGAAGATAAACGACAGGAAACACTGCAGTACATAGTTTTGGAAAACCTGGAACGTCACCTCCCCGTTTTTAGTCAGGGTTTCCAGGTCCAACGAGAGAATATTGTCCAAGATGCTTGACCCATTGTGGAACTCTTCCAACATGATGGAAACTGATTTGATTGTGCTCATGTTGCTCCAATACGACACGAAAACTACTCCCACGGACATTATGTACATATAGGCCACCATCAGGTGTTTTATGTGTAAAATGAAGAGACATAGGGCAGCTGCACATCCTGCAAAAAAAAAACAAGATTAGTCAAACTATTGATTGCTATTTGGTGTCCGACGAAAGGGGAAATTCACGGTTCACTCTTCGAAAGGTCGGAACTTTCAATTCTTCTCACTTATTTTCATTTTACTTTAAAAATAGATTTATCGATTTCGGCGGTGTTTTAACACGGATGAGTCGCTCGAGGTGCTATTAAGAGAATTTATGCAAATCGACTTCTTGCACGCATCTCGTGTTTTAAAATGTGAAAAGACTTGAAAGGGGAGAATTAGTTGGGCGTTTGGTGTTAAATGTGATAACGAAACGACGGATTTTTGCACGCTGACTGTTTTGGCAACCAAATGGAACAAAACCGCCAAAATTGATGCGCAGAATAAGCGACAGTTACTTACTTTAAATATTAAAAATAAATAAATTGCGCATTCAATTTTACCGTCGAGGTATAATATACATAGTTTTATATGGGGTTGCAATGCACCAAAAAATATTTTTCCTATTTGTATGCACAGTACGATGGAGTTTTGAATTTTTATTTTATCTAAATGCTGCGAAAAAATTCCAGGGTTGAATAGAGAGGATTCTAGGAATAATGTTCAGTTCAAACAAGAAAATGTAGTTGGTGGTATTACACAAGTTTACAGTTGAGTTTGGGCAATTCCGCACCTTGTTTTGTCAGCTTTAAAATTACGAAATTATTTAGTTCACCTTGAGAAAATAATTCAAGTTGTAAATTGTCCTTAAAATTGCTAGTCTTATTCTAAATGTTTCTATAGATGCATGACAGAAATTCTATATTGATGAATGATAATTGTAACGAGTTTTCTCCATTGAACAAATATTTCTGGATTATGAAGTATGCTTCCACTATACCGGGTGTCTGAAAATGGCGGTTTAACTTTCCAGTATTGTGTTTGCAAACTACCACCGGACAGTGGAGATCACAAAAATTAAGCAACAAGGCGACCCTAATCGGATTACCACGTAGCGAAAATTATGACACCTCTTTTAGCCGGTCCCCAGGCTGTTTACCTAGAAAATCCTAGAAACGATACTCAGGACAGGATTCGTTATTACGTTTTCTACATTTCTAATTAGCTAAACACGTAAAGTTGTAATAAATGTTTTATTTTTTTATACTTGTACATTATAATGATGTTATAATTATTATTAATGCTAAAATTATAAAAGCATGATTTTATCATTAGTACAATCAAACCTGGCGAAGCCCCGAGGGCAACGTAATAACAAGAAAAATTTTATTAATGGTAGGGTCTTGGGACCTACATCCTTTCTTAACACAGCGGTTTTCATTGTTGCTTAATTTTTATGATCTTCCCTATCCGGTGGTAGTTTGCAAAAACTGTACGTTATGTATGAGGGTTTCGGGAGTTCAAAAAAAATAAAAAAATTCTTTATGATGTAGATTACGGAAAAAACGTAATTTTATAAAAGTAAAACTGGCAACACTGCACGCACCTAATGCGTGAATACCTCCGGCTTACTTTCTGATTTCTTAGTGACGATGGTGACTGAAATCCACTTTGTGCACATAAATAAGCTCGTAATGTTTCCAAATTTTAATAATTTTTTGTAAAAGTTAGTCCTCAGTACTTCTTAAGATAAAACTGATTTTTTTGGCAAATAACATACCCTCCTAGAAAAGACAGGGTGGGTGGGCGGGGCTAATTCTTGCTAAGATAAGGGTGTTTGGCAAATCAGATACCCTCTAAGGAAAGACAGGGCGGGTGGGCGGGGCTAGTACCTGCTAAGGTAAAACTGATTTTGGCAAATGACATTCTCTAAGAAAGTAGAGGGTGGGCGGCTGGGGCTAGTACCTACTAAGATAAGACTAATTTAACAAATGGCGTATCCTGTAAGAACTTTAATTACATTATTATAAAAAAGACACTAGAGGGTTCAAAGCACTTTCAAACAGGAATACCTAGAACCTCAAGATTGTTTCAAATTTCAAAAAAAAAAAAAAAAAAAAAACAAAAACGGGGTCCTAAAATTAACTCAAAAACAAGTCAGGTCAGAATTTTTCAAAAATAGAACAACAAAACCCAGCCCACCCACCCTATCTTTTCTTAAAGGGTATGCCATTTTCCAAAATCAATTTTATCTTAGCAGTTACTCGCTAGGATGCGACTGATTTTGGCACTTGACATATCCTCTAAGAAAAGAGGGGGTGGGTGGGCGGGGCTAGTAACTGCTAGGACAAGACTGATTTTGGTAAATAAGATACTTATTAAGAAAAGAGATGGTGGGCGGGGTAGTTCCTGCTAAAATAAGAGTGATTTTGGCAAATGAGATACCCTCTAAGAAAAGAGAGGGCGGGTGCGTGGGGCTAGTACCTGCTAAGATAAAACTGATTTTGGCAAATGAGATACTTTTTAAGAAAAGAGAGGGCGAGTGGGTGGGGCTACTACCCGTTAAGACGGATTTTGGCAACTAACATATTCACTGAGAAAATATAGGGCGGTCGGCTGGGGTTGGTACCTGCTAAGATAAGACTAATTTTAGCAAATGACGTATCCTCTAGAAATTTAATTAAATTATTATAAAAAAAAAGATACTAGAGGCTTCAAAGCACTTTCAAACCGTAATACCTAGAACCTCAAGATTGTTTTAAATTTTCAAAAAAATCCCAACATTAACTCAAAAACAGGTCAGGTCAGAATTTTCCAAAAATAGAAAACTAAAACCCCGCCCACCCGCCCTCTCTTTTCTTCGTGGGTATCTCATCTACCAAACACTCTTATTTTAGCAGGAACTAGCCCCGTTCACCCACCCTTTCTTTTCTTAGAGGGTATGTCATTTACCAAAATCACTTTAATCTTAGCAGTTACTTGCTACGAGACGACTGATTTTGGCACTTGACATATCCTCTAAGAAAAGAGAGGGTGGGTGGGCGGGGTTAGTACCCGCTAGGATAACACTGATTTTGGTAAATGAGAAACTCTCTAAGAAAAGAGAGGGCGAGTGGGTGGGGCTAGTACCCGTTAAGACGAATTTTGGCAAATGACATATTCACTAAGAAAATATAGGGCGGTCGGCTGGGGTTAGTACCTGCTAAGATAAGACTAATTCTAGCAAATGACGTATCCTCTAAGAAATTTAATTAAATTATTATAAAAAAAGATACTAGAGGCTTCAAAGCACTTTCAAACAGTAATACCCAGAGCCTCAAGATTGTTTTAAATTTTCAAAAAAATCCCAAAAGTAACTCAAAAAACAGGTCAGGTCAGAATTTTCCAAAAATAGAAAACCAAAACCCCGCCCACCCGCCCTCTCTTTTCTTCGTGGGTATCTCATTTGCCAAACACTCTTATCTTAGCAGGAACTAGCCCCGCCCATCCACCCTCTCTTTTCTTAGAGGGTATGTCATTTTCCAAAATCACTTTTATCCTAGCAGTTACTTGCTACGATACGACTGATTTTGGCACTTGACATATCCTCTATGAAAAGAGAGGGTGGGTGGGCGGGGCTAGTACTTGCTAGGATAAGATTGATTTTGGCAAATGAGATATCTTTTAAGAAAAGAGAGGGCGAGTGGATGGGGCTACTACCCGTTAAGACGGATTTTGGCAACTAACATATTCACTGAGAAAATATAGGGCGGTCGGCTGGGGTTAAGACTAATTTTAGCAAATGACGTATCCTCTAGAAATTTAATTAAATTATTCTAAAAAAAGATACGCTAGATTCTTCAAATCACTTTCAAACAGTAATACCTAGAACCTCAAGATTGTTTTAAATTTTCAAAAAAATCCCAACATTAACTCAAAAACAGGTCAGGTCAGAATTTTCCAAAAATAGAAAACTAAACCCCGCCCACCCGCCCTCTCGTTTCTTCGTGGGTATCTCATCTACCAAACACTCTTATTTTAGCAGGAACTAGCCCCGCTCACCCACCCTCTCTTTTCTTAGAGGGTATGTCATTTTCCAAAATCACTTTAATCTTAGCAGTTACTTGCTACGAGACGACTGATTTTGGCACTTGACATCCTCTAAGAAAAAAGAGGGTGGGTGGGCGGGGCTAGTACCTGCTAGGATAAGACTGATTTTGGCAAATGAGATATCTTTTAAGAAAAGAGAGGGCGAGTGGGTGGGGCTAGTACCCGTTAAGACGGATTTTGGCATATGACATATTCACTAAGAAAATATAGGGCGATCGGCTGGGGTTAGTACCTGCTAAAAAAAGACTAATTTTAGCAAATGACGTATCCTCTAAGAAATTTAATTAAATTATTATAAAAAAAAAGATACTAGATGCTTCAAAGCACTTTCAAACAGTAATACCTAGAACCTCAAGATTGTTTTAAATTTTCAAAAAAAATCCCAAAATTAACTCAAAAACAGGTCAAGTCAGAATTTTCCAAAAATAGAAAACCAAAACCCCGCCCACCCGCCCTCTCTTTTCTTCGCGGGTATCTCATTTGCCAAACACTCTTATCTTAGCAGGACCTAGTCCCGCCCACCCACCCTCTTTTCTTTTTTGGAGGGTAAGTCATTTTCCAAAATCACTTTTATCTTAGCAGTTACTTGCTACGATACGACTGATTTTGGCACTTGACGTATCCCCTAAAAAAAGACAACTGGGCGGAGCTAGTACCTGCTAAGGTAAAACTGATTTTGGCAAGTGACATTCTCCAAGAAAGTAGAGGACGGGCGGCTGGGACTAGTACCTCCTAAGATAAGACTAATTTCAGCAAATGACGTATCCTCTAAGAAATTTAATTAAATTGTTATAAAAAAAGACACTAGGGGCTTCAAAGCACTTTCAAACAGGAATACCTAGGACCTCAAGATTGTTTCAAATTTTCAAAAAAAAAAAACAAAAGAAACAAAAACGGGGTCCCAAAATTAATTAAAAAACAAGTCAGGTCAGAATTTTCCAAAAATAGAAAAGCAAAACCCCGCCCACCCGCCCTCTCTTTTCTTCGTGGGTATCTCATCTGCCAAACACTCTTATCTTAGCAGGAAGTAGCCCCGCCCACCCACCCTCTCTTTTCTTGGAGTATGTCATTTGCCAAAAATTGTTTTAAATAATTTAAAAAAAAATCTCCATGGGCTCTCAAAATAATACACCATGGGTACCCCAGAGTCACCCGAATAAAAAAAAAAAAAAAAGATTTACTGCCGCACTCAAGACTTTTTCAAGTTCATCCAGCACAAAACATCAGATTCCTTTAAGTTTATCCGGAAGTAAAACAACAGGGGACCTAAAATGAACTGCGAACACTTTAAACCTAGGATTTTGAAAACTGACAATTTTTGATACGTCAAACATTTTTAGCTGCTTCCTCGATTTTTGCTGATTTGTATTTTGCCTTTATATGAGGCAAACATTGTTGTCAAGCAAGTTATTACAGATATCGTAAAATATACGTGTATTATTTACAAAACTACGACACGTATTATACATATTTTTCAATAACAATACAAAAAATCATTTCTGAGATGAATATTGTAGTTTTTTACTTTTCAAGCGTAAGCGAACTTTTATGTTTTTCAACGTTTCATGACCTGTAGATTACCAAAAAATAGGTCTTCCATTTCCCTCTGTCTGCCTATGCCGATTTTTATTAGATATGTAACTTCGAAACTACCACACCGATTGTTGTCAAATTTTACATGTACATTAGGAATATCATGTAGATGGTAAAACGCTAAGCAAAATTTGGCTAATCATCCCTACCAACAATGACTTGACCTCCAAAATTTACAACAGTAAATAGTAAATTTAAATTGTATGTACTAAGATACTCCTGTACTTGTGTTTTATGAATCCGTGTTGAGTTTTTACTCTAAACGTCTAGGTTTTTGGAAAAAATCATCTCAAAACTTTGCGAATAAATTCCATCTAAAATACGCAAAATATTATGAATTTATACTTGTGGTTTTTATGTTTTTTGGAATTACACACTTATACAAGGTGATTTAAAAAACACAAGACCAATTTTTTAAATAAGTTATTTTAGAACCATGCGTAATACATACGTAACTGGAATTAAATTTGATAGTACTTGTGCATGAATTTACAGTGAAATAAAAATTATACTCAAGGATAAGTGGTGAATAATTTTGTTTGTTGAACAGAACATGAATGTGTATTTATGTATCGGTTGGGCTACTTCAAGCTGCAACTGTAATAAAATTACCAGAAAAATGCATAGAGACCGTTGTTTTGTACAAAAAGTACTACATGTTAAAAAAATCGATTCCAGTGAACACGTAATACCGATTTTTTAAAGTAAAGAATAAAGAAAATATTTTCATACTTATATAAACTAGAAAAGTAAATTCTGCTGACTTAAAATAAATTACGCATAATAAACGATATAAAACGAATCCACACAATACAATGCTATCACATAAAGAATAAAAAACAACATATTTATAGATTTTCGAATCTCTGGCTTTTTTGTTGTACAAAATAAATTAAGTATATTCTTGACAACACGTATCTACGATAACTGTAATTAATTTATTATATGTTGCAATCAAAATTAAAAAAAAAGACAAAATAAAATACAGAAACTGTATAGGTACTAAACGCCTGACTTTCCGCACCTCTGAAGCACACCCAATACCAACAGATTAAACAATTCCCGAAGGTGACGTCACCAATTTTACGCCGGGGATAAATACATTAGTTTTGATATACACAATATTCGCACTAATCATAACATTGTACTACTAGATTATGGGTCAAGGCAAAGGTATATCTATTAAATAAATCGTAGACAGTAAGTATGATTACTTAACCAATTTTCGCGATAGTATGAAGGTGCGCTTAAAACTTCAAAGCACTTAAATGGCAAGAAACAGATGATAGTGAACCACGTCATTTCCGTGTTCTACGAGCTGCGGGGGCCAACAACATGAAATTCTATTTCCCCAGATTTACCCTTGCTATAGCTCAGGAAGCAAAAATCGCATTGAGCTACAAACAGGAAATCATGCATAATTATTTCTAGAAGAAAGAAAACAAGGTTAAAAATAAACATGTTTTTAAAACGACAAATTCCACAATATTTTTTTAAGAACTTTTTGAGGCAATTGATTCATTTATTTAAACTTGTGTCTGATAGTGATAACAATATGACGATCATCATGACACTTACAAAAAATCATTCATGACTGTGACTAATCTAACTAATCGTATTGTAATTATCAAAATGAAGTGTAACTTATTTTTAATACAGTATCCGCAGACAAGCCAAGATACAGCGACCGCGAGGTCAAAAGTCGATAATAGCCACTTCATAAACATTTGTTCCCTTATTTCCACCTTTCTCTTATTAATTTGTTAAGCAATAGATGTGCTTTTATCGTCGGTTTTATACTGCGTTCGCACGCCACAATTTTATTGACGGACCCAAATGCGGTAAAATTGATATTGCATGTACATCGCAAGGTCGGTTATCACGTTATCATTTATTCTCCAATGAAACTTTTGTTTTGGTGTTTTTTCTAGACTAGAAATCAGGATTTTGACCCCGCAGGTTGCAGCGATTTGAAACTTGTGAGAAAAATTTCCGCTTGCATTTGATTTGAGGTTAGCAAAAATTGATGTACAGTGTATTAATTACACAATCTTTTCACCCAGCTCTTGACATTGAATATTAAAACACAATTCATACAATTTTGTAAAGCAATGAATCAGCAAAATAAACCTATGCGTATTGTTAGTTCATAAATGGGTCTAGTTAGTCTAGAACAATCCCAAAATTCCCTTTTTGGTCTACTACTGGCTTGACGTTGCTAACCCAGCACCGTGCCTCAGGACCCAAAGTGTTAACCACGTTCCAAATAACAGGAACTTTGGAATTGTTGTTTTGAATCGATGTCATACTAACCTACAGCACTCAGCAGCAGCCTCAGCAAGGACACGAAAAAAAACTTATAGAATACTGGGTTATAAGGGACCGTCGTCGCATTGCTTCGAATATTTTCTTCGAATTGCTCGAATTTCTCTTGGAAACTGGACAGATCATGTTCAGTCAGCTCTTCGAGGCCTATACCAAATTTAAGTATTTCATCAATTACGAATAATGGTGGCACCCTTAACACTACTTCCACTAAGCCTAAAACTCTTGAACGGAGCGACATTTCATTGCAAGAAATCGCTGGTCGGATCACAGCAACTTTATTTACTTTTTACTTATAAAAACTTGGTGACAGTGTTACTTGGTTGACTTTATACTTTCATTTGCCGCTAACGTAGGTTCCTAAAAACTGACGTTTCACTTAACTGTCAAAATTGATAAACAGGTCGCTGTAATGGAACGTTACAGATTCCAGCGGACCAAACACTTTGCGTAATTTCAACAAAAAATTTAAATAACTCGGATCGAAATTATATTTTTCATTATTTCTATTCGCAATGGCTTTTGCTCGTAATTTTTTGCAATTAGAATAAATAAATAAAACATTGAATACAAGACTGACATTTTTTGTGTAAAATATTTAAAATTTAAATAGTTATTTTTTAATAATAGTAATAATAATAATAACAGTGGTAAATCTCTAATGTTGAACTACTTGAACTGTTATTTTTGCATACAATAACATTTTATCACGTGATTGTGAGGGGTTGGACGATACAATAGCAGAGGGTTAGTGCTAATGCTAATGAGGAATAAGGACGACAAAGGACGAAAAAGGACGAAAATGAGGAATAAGGACGAAAAAGAACGAGAAAGGACAAAAAGGACGAAAATGGGGTATAAGGACGAAAAAGGACGAAAAAGGACGAAAAAGGACGAGGCAGGACGAAAAGGACAAAAAGGACGAAAAAGAACGACAAAGGACGAAAAGGACGAAAACAGACGAAAAGGACAAAAAGGACAAAAAAGGAAGAAAAGGGCGAAAAAGGACGAACAGGGACGAAAAAGACCGATAAAGGACGATAAAGGCCAAAAAGGACGAAAATGAGGAATAACGACGAAAAAGGACGAACAAGGACGGCAAAGGACGACAAAGTACGAAAAAGAACAAAAAGGACGAAAATGGTCGAGAAAGGGCAAAAAGGACGAAAATAAGGAATAAGGACGAAAAAGGACTAAAAAGGACGAGAAAGGACGAAAAGAACGAAAATGAAGAATAAGAACGAAAAAGGACGAAAAATAACAGAAAAGGACGAGAAAGGACAAAAAGGGCGAAAATGAGGTGTAAGAACGAAAAAGGACGAACAACGACGAAAAAGGACAGCAAAGGACGAAAAAGGACAAAAAAGGACGAGAAAGGACGAAAAGGACAAAAAGGACGAAGAGGACAAAAACGACGAAAATGGACGACAAAGGACGAAAAGGACGAAAAAGGACGAAAAGGACAAAAAGGACGAAAAAGGAAGAAAAGGGCAAAAAGAATGAAGAGGATGAAAAGGACGAAAAAGGACGAACAGGGACGAAAAAGACCGAAAAAGGACGACAAAGGCCAAAAAGGACGAAAATGAGGAATAACGACGAAAAAGGACGAAAAGGACGAAAATGACGAAAAGGACGAAAATGAGGAATAAGGACGAAAAAGGACGGGAAGGACAAATAAGGACGAAAAAGGACCACAAAGGAAGAACAAGAACGAAAAAGGACGAGAAAGGACGAACAAGGACGAAAAAGGACGAACAAATACGAACAAGGACGGACAAAGACGAACAAGGACAAAAAAGGACGAAGAAGGACGGAAAAGGACGACAAAGGACGAAAAAGGACGAGAAAGGACGAAAAGGACAAAAAGGACGAAAGAGACGAAAATGAGGGAAAAGGATGAAAAAGGACGAGAAGGACGAATAAGGACGAAAAAAGACGAGAAAGGACGAAAAGGACGAAAAGGACGAAAATGAGGAAAAAGGACGAAAAGGACGAAAAAGGACGAAAAAGGACGAAAACTGACGAAAAAGGACGACAAAGGACGACAAAGGAAAAACAAGGACGAACAAGGACGAAAAAGGACGAGAAAGGACGAAAAGGACGAAAAAGTACGAAAAGGACGGCAAAGGACAAAATGGACGAAAATGAGGAATAAGCACGAAAAGGAACGAAAAAGGACGGCAAAAGACGAAAAGGACGGAGAGGACGAAAAAGGACGAAAAGGACAAAATGGACGAAAATGAGGAATAAGGACGAGAAGGACGAAAAAGGACGAACAGGGACCAAAAAGGACGAAAAAGTACGAAAAGGACGAAAAGGATGAAGAGGATGAAAAGGACGAAAAAGGACAAGAAAGGACGAAAAGGACAAACAGGATGAAAAAGACGAAAATGAGGAACAAGGACGAAAAAGGACGAGAAGGACGAGAAAGGATGAAAAAGGACGAAAAGGACGAGAAAGGACGAAAAGAACAAACAGGATGAAAAAGACGAAAATGAGGAAAAAGGACGAAAAAGGACGAGAAGGACGAATAAGGACGAAAAACGACGAAAACTGACGAAAATGAGGAATAAGGACGAGAAAGACGAAAAAGGACGAAAAAGTACGAAAAGGACGAAAAGGATGAGGAGGATGAAAAGGACGAAAAAGGACGAGAAAGGACGAAAAGAATAAAAAAGATGAAAAAGACGAAAATGAGGAACAAGGACGAAAAAGGACGAGAAGGACGAATAAGGACGAGAAAGGACGAAATAGGACGAAAAGGGATGACAAAGGACGAAAAAGGACGAGAAGGACGAAAAGGACGAATATGAAGAATAAGGATGAAAAAGGACGACAAAGGACGAAAAAGACGGAAAGGACGAAAAAGGACGAAAAGGACAAAATGGACGAAGATGAGGAATAAGGACGAGAAGGACGGAAAGGGACGAAAAAGGACGAACATGGACGAAAAAGGACAAAAAGGACGAATATATTCAATAAATAAAATAAAATATATTTTTCAAAAAAATTGTAAAAAGTTCTAGAATGTCTTGTGTTTGAAAGATTTTGAAATAATTTTCTGGGCTTCTTGTATCGTTTATTGATGAATATGAACTAATTTTTGGGTCCTCTCATGTTTTGTTGTTGAAAGAATTTGAAAAATCCAGGCAGAACCTGGAGTTCTTTTTTTTTTGAAAGATTTTTGAGGGATGCTTTATGTCTTTGTTTAAGGAATATAATAGAATTTTTTTGAAAGAATTTAAAAAATTCTGACAGATCTTTGGTGTTTTGTTAATGAAAGAACTTAAAAGAGTCTTGGAGACCTAGTGCCTATTTTTTGGATTAAGGATTAATCTTGGGGACTCCCTGTCTTCTACTTTTGATAGAATTTGAAGAATAGAATTGAAGAAACCTCGTGTTTTAATTTTAGTTTGAAACAATCTTGGGGACTCTTGATGTCTTTTTTTGAAGAATATGAAAGAATCTTTGGCGCTTCTTATGTTTTATTTTTGAAAGAATTTGAAAAAATCTCGTATACTTCTGGTGTTTTTGTTTTTGAAAAAGTTTGAAGGAATCTTTGCAACCCTTTGTGTTTGCTTTTGAAATGTGAGAGAATCTTCGGAGAACTCTGGTGCTTACTTTTTCAAAGTATTTTAAAGAATCTTAGGCTCACCTAGTGTCTTTTTTTAAGAATATAAAAGAATCTTTAGACCCCATTATGCTTTATTTTTGAAAAAAATTGATCCCTGATGTTTTGCTTTTGAAAAAGTTTAAAAGTTTTTTTTTTGAAGAATATGAAATAATTTTTGAGACCGCTCATGTTTGTTTTGTTATTCAAAATTTGAGCAAATCATGGAAAATGTGTTTTTTTTAAGAATCTGAAAGAACCTTGAGGGCCTAGTGCCTTTTTTCAGGATATAAAAGAATCTTGTAGACCCTTACCCTTTTACTTTTGATAAAAGTTAAACAATGGCAGTGAAGAAACCTCGAAAACCTTTGGTGTTTTAATTTCTAAAGATTTAAAAAAAAATTGTTTTATTTTTGACAGAATTTGAAAAATTCTCGGAGACCTCTGTCTTTTACTTTTGACAGAAGATATAGAATAGAAACCTGGAGGACCTTCGCTGTTTTAGTTTTCAAAGAATTTGAAAAAAAAAGTTCTATTTTTGAAAGATTTTGAAAAATTTCGGAGACACCTGGTGTTTTGTTTTTGAAAGAGTTTGAAAGAACTTTGTATTTTGTTTTTAAAAGGGTTTTAGAATCTGGAGGGCCGCTGATATCTCCTTTTTTAAAAAATGAAAGAATCTATAGGTTCTCATGTGTTTTATTTTTCAAAAATGTGAAACACCTCTAAAACCCCCACTGTTGTGGTTGAAAAAATATGAAATAATTTTCGGGGTCCCAAGTGTTTGAAGAATGTGAAATAATTTTTGAGATCTCTCCTGTTTTTTAATTGAAAGAGTTAAAAAAATCAAGAGCTTTTTTAAACTTTGAAAGAATCTTGGAACGCATAATATTTTGTTTTAGAACTAGTTGACAAGAAATATGCAAAATATTATGGACCTATATTTACTAATCAATCCATTCCTTTTTATATTAAAAATTTTGGAAACAATTCGAAAAATGCATAAATCCAATTCTACTTGCACTATGGGGTGTAGTATTTAGAAAAAGCGATAATTGCAACTTTCCTTGGAAATTAAAAACTTTAAAAACATATTTTTACGTTTTAACATATATTTTATATAAAATTAGAGGAGTATACGGAGAAGAAAATGTTACATAACGTTAGATGAATTACCAGAAGTTATTTATTTAAATGCTTGAACTTTAAAGAAATGAGGAGAAGAGACCTACTAAACGCGACGTAGAAAGTAATTTTGTACAGACAAAAAATTAGCGTTAGCCTCAATTCTTCTGCAACTAGCTCCTCTATTCTAAATTGGAATTGGTGTCAAAATCTTCAAGTCTAAAAATTTTCCTGTCTTTTGGAAAGTGACTTCACGTTTTTAAATGATCTGGAGGTTGAAAACAGTGATATTTTGAGTCTGGAGTTTATTATTATTATTATTATTACTATACGACCGAGCAGGAAGAAATAACTTAATGTTTTTCTGTTTTTTTTTTTGTGTTTTTATGTAGATATAAATGACTTAAATGTAACTTTTTAGGGGTTTGGTGACAAATTTCGAAATCAATAGTGAAATTAGTGACTATATATATAGTCACTGGTGAAATGGTCCGCTGCAATTGTTACAGATTCCTACATTACTATATAATCAGTTGCAAGATTACTACTCCTCAAACTCGAATAGCAATCCAGTTATCTGTTCACAAGCTATACTAT